AATTAAAAATCCATAATTGTGTTTCCTCTCCTGAACAGCATAAATATTTACTGTGTGCTTCTTCCAGGCTCAAATGTACATGAAATATTAACCCAGTGTGTATGTTTTTTGTTCTTGCAGAAACTACCATGTTTTCCACTACTTGTTGGCAGGAGCTGATGAGCAAGAGAGGGAGATGTTCCGCCTGGTCTCTGCTGACAAATATAATTATCTTTCACAGGTAAAGCCACAAGTAAAAGTGGGTCAGTGTTTCCGGGGTGAGCTTCTTGTAGTTGATGGAAACCAGGAGGGAATAAACACTGCTGTGCTGGTTAGAGGTCAAACGATGTAGATGATGATTGAGGTTTGGGGTAGTTGTTATTGTGAACTTACCAACACTTGATCCTGGGGTTCAGGCTGCCAGGTGCTGTCTTCACAGTAAGTGTTGATTGCAATGGAACTCCAGCACTGTCTGTATAGTATCCTTGTTGTGCAGTCCCTGTGCTATCTTCCCACATGTATCATTGTCTCCACAATTAAAAGTTGGGTGCAGTGAATCTCCAACACTTTTGTCTCTTGTCCTGGTAGTACAGTTTCTTAGCTATCTTCCCACTTGTATCATTGTCTCCACAGTGAAAAGTTGGGTGCAGTGGATCTTCAACACTCTTGTCTCTTGTCCTGGTTGTACAGTTTCTTAGCTATCTTCCCACTTGTATCATTGTCTCCACAGTGACAAGTTGGGTGCAGTGGATCTTCAACACTCTTGTCGCTTGTCCTGGTTGTACAGTCTCTTAGCTATCTTCCCACATGTATCATTGTCTCCACAGTGACAAGTTGGGTGCAGTGGATCTCCAACACCTATGTCTCTTGTCGTCCTGGTTGTACAGTCTCTTAGCTATCTTCCCACTTGTACCAATGTCTCCACAGTGAAAGTTGGGTGCAGTGAATCTCTTTCACTCTCTCCCCTAGGGTGTACAAATTATAAAGACTGTCATTCATATATTGATGTAATCCTTCCACTTGTATTGCTGTCTGCCTCTTGCACTTCTGCCTTAAGATTTTTCCCTAGAGAGGTTTTTATAGGTTATCCCTTTTAAAATGCCCATATCTCTGAGGTTGCTTCTTTTTATTGGTAGGGTTGATTTTTCTCTTACCTGTTTGACTTCCTGCCATCCTTTTGTTCCATAGGTTCAAATTTACATTTAGCAGATCAAAAAAAAAAAATATATATGTAGGCTCCCAGATGTACTCAGCCTAAGCTAGGTGCCAAGAGAAGAGTGATTATTAAAGGGAACCGGCATGGTATACCACATCATCTTCCAAGTTCTCATAAAAATATGGAGCAATCATCATATATCCAGTACAGGGTCAAAAGGGGTCCTATACCTTTACCTTTACATGACTCCAGGGCTGACCCACTCTAATGGTTTTTTTTTTTTAATGAAAAAAAAAAAATGGATTTCAGATATCCATAATTTTATGAGTTTAAGTCGAGAACACCCTGCCTCACACTTTTCCTTCCTAAAGAAATCTCTGGTGCCTTTTGCCTGAAGCTGGGTTGAGTCCAGAACCACATGCTCTCTGTGTAACCTAAATTGTCTGTCTTTCCAGACGATAGTATAATAATGCACTGTGGGAAGTCATGGGAATCCTAGCCCATGGCCATGGCAGCGAATGTGACTAGCAACACTTGGCTGGCATTAGGAAAAGTCTTCCACAGTTAGAGCAATGGATTTCAGGACCGTTATTTCCACAGTTTGTGTTTAGTGTGTTTTTTTCTCAGACGCTCATCTCTTAACCTGTCTGCATCTACCCTTCTGTAATTCACCACAGAGGATGTCCTTAGGGGCTCTGCCATCCTCCATTCTCCAGGTGTGACCCAGCCATCTGAGCCTTCATAGACTGAAGCATTGAGAAGACTGTTGTAATACCTGCTCTTTTCAATACCTCAGTGTTTGTGATCTTGTCCTGCCACTTAATGCCAAGTATTCTTCTTAGGCATCATATATGAAAGCTATTTAGCCGTCTCTCCTGGTGCAAATAAGTTAACCAAGTTTCACTGCCATAAAGCAGAGTGTGCGGAGAACACAAGCTTGATAGACGAGAGTTTTTGTTTTAATCATGAACTTTCTGTTCTCCTAAACTCTTTCTGTTAGTCTGCTTATTGTTGTTGCTAACCTTACCTATCCTGATGTTGATTTTTGATCCAGCGATAGTTTGTTATTCACTGTGAATCCCAGATAGGTAAAATGGTCAGTTGTCTCCAGCTTTCCACCATTAGTGTAGACAGGTCTGTTATTAACACATTAAACCATAATTTTTTGTCTTTTTGCTGATTGTTAGTCCCAATTCACAGCATGCATCAAAAGTGCAGAAAGTAAACATTGCAGCCCTTATGGGCCTACTTTATTGTACTAGTTCAGCACTACCATGCGCTAGGGAGCACATATGTTTCTATAAACTCTACCCCCCCCCCCCCCCCCCCCCCCCAATCCCCATTTTTTTAATTACCTCAAATCTTGCATTAAATTATTACTTCATCTGTCCAGTTCTTGCAGTCTGAAGTTACATATTTTCTCTTTGTTAGGATTATATTAAAGAATATATGAGTATGACAGCCACATATATCAGCAGGAGGAGTGCCTCTCCCTGTGCAAACCTGTCAGCCCAATAAATTCTTCATGTTAATGCAGGATCATATATCATTTATATTATTAGCATTGTCACACCTTGGGTCTTCAATAATGCATTTCTGACTTGATTGATCCATTTCTCATTGTAAGAAATATTGAAATGTGACAGTCTGTGCATTAGCTATATACCACATGTTGCTTGCTGCTACATGCAGGATACAGAGCTTCTTGTTTGAGTTTGGGGGGGGGGGGGGGAATAGATCTTTACCCCCTAAGAATATGTTGGGAAAAAGTGACCAAAAAAAAGTCTATTTGAAATAGGATGTGTTGGGCTGATAGATGCAGATATTGCGACCTAGCTTTAACCAGCATGATATGCCACCCACTCTCTTAAGGGGGAAATGCAGAAAAAGAAGAAGATGTACAGGGTGGTCAGAAATGACAATGCTCACATAATTTGTTTCCTGTTTGCAGTCTCAGTTTGTTGCATAAAACTTGACAGAGAATACATAAACTACATTTTCTGGTGTTTTTGTTGGCTGTACACACACAGTGATTATCAAACAATTCACTTTTTCCCCCCAAGTTTTTCTTTACTTTATGTCTCTCATTCTGTTTGTCCCCTTCTTTTTCTTTTCTTTCTCCATCCTCCTGCTTCTACTATCTCCTCCTGTTGCTTCCTGTTTCCTTCTCTTCTCTTTTCTTCTCCTGTGGTGCTTGATCTGATCAGACATTGGCTAAAACTCTCCAAACATCTCTGTCATTTATTTTGATAGGTTGAAATTTGCTCACATTATTCATTACCCATCTGTGTAAGCTTTTCACATACATTTGTCTCTGTTTTTCTTTCCTTCCGTTTCTTAATAATTCCCAAATAAAACTAATTTGTATATTCTAACTGTTCATTCGAAATGCTTCATAAATTAAATTTTATTGGTTAATGAGAAATTTTATAATACTCTGGGCTGTATGGTCTCTATGCATGATTTCCGCATCGTGTGCTGGAGGTCCCGAGTTCAAGTCCCAGTGAAGGCTGGGATTTTTTTCGTGTGGACTTCTAGTAATTTCCCCTGGTCTCTGGGTAGCAAGATCGAATGCCCATGTGTATTGTTGCACACGTAAAAAAAAATCCCTTGGCAGTTGGAAATTAAAAAGGGTAGCCTAATGGCCCTTCCTGTACAAAATTTGGAGTTTAAAAATCTACCCAAGGTATTTTAGTATCCTCACCAGTGCTAGGGAGTTCATGCACTGCGCTGAGAATCTTCGGACTCAAACAGGAGTTAGAAGTAGAACAAAGCACTTATGCATTACTACCCCTGTGCCATGATGTTGAACCGTTGTTCGAACCTAAACCTAAACCTTAATAATACTACAGCTGTTAATGTTGTCACTGACAACGTCACTACACACTGTAATTCCCATGTGTGCGCGTCCTCCAATGCAGTAGCCACTCCACGGTACCTCTGCTGATTGTTTCCTTGAGAGCTGTTATGCTTGACTCTTTAATATCTTCTTTTTCTACAATGTTCTCAAAATTCTTCTTAACTACCACAACCCCACTGACACCAATATCTTTGTCATTTCCCTACTGGTATACCATGACTTGCTGTTGTTCTTTGCCTACATTACCTCAAAATTCTTCTAAAGTACCACAACCCCACGGACGCCAATGTCTTTGTCATTTCCCTACTGGTATACCATGACTTGCTGTTGTTCTTTGCCTACATTACCTCAAAATTCTTCTAAACTATCACAACCCCACGGACACCAATGTCTTTGTCATTTCCCTACTGGTATACCATGACTTGCTGTTGTTCTTTGCCTACATTACCTCAAAATTCTTCTAAACTATCACAACCCCACGGACACCAATGTCTTTGTCATTTCCCTACTGGTTTACCATGACTTGCTGTTGTTCTTTGCCTACATTACCTCAAAATTCTTCTAAACTATCACAACCCCACGGACACCAATGTCTTTGTCATTTCCCTACTGGTATACCATGACTTGCTGTTGTTCTTTGCCTACATTACCTCAAAATTCTTCTAAAGTACCACAACCCCACGGACACCAATGTCTTTGTCATTTCCCTATTGGTATACCATGACTTGCTGTTGTTCTTTGCCTACATTACCTCAAAATTCTTCTAAAGTACCACAACCCCACGGACACCAATGTCTTTGTCATTTCCCTACTGGTATACCATGACTTGCTGTTGTTCTTTGCCTACATTACCTCAAAATTCTTCTAAAGTACCACAACCCCACGGACACCAATGTCTTTGTCATTTCCCTACTGGTACATCATGACTTGCTGTTATTCTAGAGTGCCTGCTACAGTGTGGAGGGTGTTGATGAGAAGTATGAGTTTGCCAGGCTGAAGCAGTCAATGGAGATGGTCGGCTTTTCACATGAAACACAGAGAAAGTAAGCATTTTGTGTTACTAATTATTTTAACTAAATTTCATTTTTAAAAAATAGGATTGTAACAAATCATCAAATGCATCACCAAGATCTTCAGACTGAGAACTTAATACCAAAATTTGAAGGAAATTATAATTAAGCAAATCTGAGCTAGGATATCAAATTATCACCTTCATCATCAGTCTGCAGGTCTTTACAGAAAGTCACTGTAATCACAGCACACATGAATGTCTTTTTCTGGCCAAGTCTCCATCATCACCTTACTATTATAGAAATAAATTTAAGTAACTCTCATTATTATAGTTTTTTTAAGTTGTAAATTCTCTACAGTGGCGGTCGTCTATATTGCATTTACTGCTCTCTTTAGTGGGAATATTACATAGCAGAGTCCTAACCTCCTCCACAGTGCAACTCTCCTACCACTGTCTGAAAGACTGTAGAATTGTCTTTTTCTTAACCATTTGCTGTGAAAATTGAACTTTGGCATGAGGCGGACTGGATTATGAAATGATGTCACTAACCTCTAAACCACAGGTTGACATTATTTAACCAGTTTGCCCAGCAAATGCTAAAAAAAAAAAAAACCTCTCTTCCAGTTAGAATGCCAGAAAGAAAAATATCAGTAAAAACAACAATAGTTTCTACTCAGGTTACTTATAAATTAGTTAAAAATGCATTTATCTATGTTAAAAAACTTTTTTCCCAAAAAATATTTTAAGATATATAAAAGCAGTAATCAACTAACACTAACAGGATGAAACATTGAACAGAATACATCGTCTGGGGCCCAAGCACAACACGGGTGACTCAGGCTGGTACCCCATGACCTCTATCACTGAGGCTTATTTAAAAAAAACTCTGACGTCTACTTGACTTTTAAAAATGCCATTTAGCCCAATGGAGACCCACCTAAATGAGTCAGATTTTGATTCCCTCCTAAATGCTATTGTTAGTCAATTTATTCACATCCTGAGCTCCTGAATGTTTGTGCAGGCGCCAGTTTGGCCAGTAGCTTTAACTGAATGTCACTATAGGCAAGTCAGAAAAGTTATATTTATAGAGAATTTGGCCTAACAGAAAGTGTAGGTTTTTCTCGCTTCTAAGAGTGAAAGGGTTAAATTTTTCCACACACAAAATTGATTTAACAAAATATTGTGCCACAAATTGTTTCTCTTGAAAGTTGTTCATATTATAAAAGCTTCATGAGTAATTGATTTTCTAATATTTTGTTATGTTTGCCTTCCTCATTTTTAACAAAGCTTGTGTAGATATCAAATTTACATTTAAAAAGAGAAGCTAATGAAAGCATTGCTGCACAGTAACCTATAGTATGTATGACATGACTGACTGTTTCACATTTGTTTACCCACAGAATATTCAGCGTGTTGTCAGCTGTGCTTCACCTGGGCAATGTAGATTTCAAGAAGGTGAGTGCAGTAGCATCAATGATACCTACATAAGGTTTGCACCTGTTGAGATGAAGCTTATTAGATTTTCACAATAAACGATGATGAAATCAAACATGTTATTTTTATACTTTGTGTTAAAAGTTGCATATATATATATATATATATATATATATATATATATATATATATATATATATCTGTATACAGGAGAGATATTTGTGGCAGAGTTGTCAAAACACTTGCCTCGTGTTGTGAAGGTTGTGAATTTATTTCCAGATTCATCGTTCAGTTCTCGACTGCAGATTTATGGCGATTCCTGGGGATTGTTTCTGGAGCTACATCGTGCTCTGCGTGACACTCTTGTTGGGCGGATGTCTCTCTGCAGAGAGAGAGAGAGAGAGAGAGAGTCATATGAGATAAATCTTGGTGCAATGAAGACGGTCCTAACAATTTTAACAGTAAATTTAACATAATCTATATAAATAGGAACGTTACTGAGTACAAAGGGCAGTTGAGACATTGTGTTGTGGTTTACAGCTAGGGTGTGATATGTGTGCCTTTGAGCCCAACACATACAGTTTCCAGAAACCCTTAATTTTTTAAATCTTAGTATCTTTCTCCTGGATACCAGATCTACACCACGATCAAAGGGGAATGTACCATAATTTTCCATATTTTATAAAAATCTTCTTCTTCTTCTCTTCCACCTTGTACCTCATCGAAGTGTCGGGTTGGTTATAAAAATCTGCACACATGAATCAACCAGAGGTGCATGAGTTAGAGGAAAATGATGTACCTCCTTACTGTTCAGTGAACAGAGGACAGTTCTGAAGAACTTGTTCAACCGTTTGTTCACCTATTCTACATGTGCACAGCAGTGAAACAGACAAATGAAATCTATATTTGTTCAGTCTGTTGGGCTCTCTCATAAACCAAAGAATGGCCACCTGACCCTGTTGGTCATGATTGTGGTGGTTATTTTGGTTGCAGTTCTGTACCTTTTTACTAGCTTAATAGCTCTATTTTTCTCAGAATAACTGTTTAATACATCATCATTGCCATCATCATCGACATCGACATCCTCATTGTTATCATCAACCACATCATTATCATCATCATCATCATCCTGCTATGCCTTTATACATCATATTGGGCTTAAAGCTTATTCTTCCATTCCATTCTGTCTGTTATCACAATTGACATGCCTGCTTGTTAGTGATTCTCATATGTGCTAAGTCCTCCGATGCAGCAGCCACTCCACGGTACCTCTATTGATTGTTCCCATGAGGAGTTGGTTATAATGTCCCCTATCTTGACCTCAAAGGTGGCATTGATATGATTCACTATGCTTTACTCCCATGTCCTGTGCATAGATAGTGCATTGATAGTTGAATATTCTCTGGACACACAACTACCTAATTCTGACATGCCGTCACTCATAGAAGGAAAATGCTTTGTAGTAACATTAGCAGGTCAGGTAATAACTTATCATAGTTTTATCATAGTACTAATAGGAGTCTAGCTGTACAGATGCTGCCGCTGAGTTCAGGTCACAGTGACTGGCAAATATCCAGGTTAAATTGCTGCCGTGAGCAGAATAACGTTATCACTTCTTTTGCAAGCCTGAAAGTCTTGATGAAGACAGGGGGCAGCATTAACAGTTTTCTAACTTAAATGCTAAATTAAATTAGCTGAAAGGCTTCTTCTCAAAGTCCATCGCGTGTGGCGTTGGTAGTCATCTCTATCCACGACCTTCTGTCTTGTGTACTTTCAGTCAACTCTGACACAGATGATCCTCCTTGCCATCTTTTCATGCCAGCATCTTTTCTCTCGGTCTTCCTCTGCCTCTTCTCCTCTTCAACTTTCCTACTGTCACTATGTACTTCAGTTTTCTCCTTCTCATCAAATGACCAAAGAATGTAGATTGTCTCTTTCTGATGTGTTCAGTCAGTTCTCTTTGTGAGTCAGTTTCTTATAAGACATCCTCAATACTCTTTTTATCTTTCCAGGGTATTCTCATTATCTGTCTATAAAATCACATCTCCACAGCTTCCAAATATATTTTTTTTTGCTAATCTACTAAGAAGAGGAAGAAAATGCACATGATATATTGGCAACATTCCAAAAGTGTGGCCTATATTCTGAGTGTTGGATTATTAGCTGACAGTCAACATACATTATGCACTTAGCCTGTTAGAAATCAATGTTTCATTATTATTTCACAGAGATTATTAACCTCCTCCAATTGAAAGAAATAAATAACCCCAGTGAAGTAATAATAAAACATTGATTTCCGAGAGGCTAAATACATAACAGACATGGCCTTTGTTTAAGTGGCTAAATGCAGAAAGTAAGTAGCCAAGTTAAAGCGGCTTTCTCAAGTCAGCACATAACATGATGATGGTTAGAATTCAAAGAGAAAAAAAAAACTCGTACACCATGTGCTGCTTTGGAGTAAGAGAGTTAATGTCAAAATAGTCTATGACTCTCCTAAATTGTCATCTCTGAAGCCAGTGTATACATAAATCAGTCACCACCAGCTGGAGGACTTATTTAGAAAGAGAAGAAACCCAATTCTTTTCTTTTTCTAGTCCATGCCATGTGGCGTTGGTAGTCATGTCTGTCCACAGCCTTCTGTCTTGTGTTCTTTCAATCGATTCTGACACATATAGTCTTCATAGCCACGGTCAAACTGCCCAGCATCCTTTCTCTCAATCTCCCTCAGTCTCTTTTCCCCTCCAGCTTTGCCATGATCGGATTATACTTCAGGTTTCTTTTTCTCATGGCATGTCCAAAGAATGTAGATTATCTTCTGATGTAGGGGATGTGGGAAACCCTCATCATGACATCAATCCCAGCAGAAATAATATTGTATTCTACGAGCACCTCTAGCATTGCAGCAGTAACTACATAATATAAAATCTTTGTGATTTTTGTTTATCAGTCAAGAAAATGTTACAGTTATGTTTTTATCCTGTGACCCTCCTTAGAAAGGTGACAAGCATCATGACGAATCAGTGGCTGTAAAAAATGAGGAAGCTGTTAAAATTATCTCCATGTTGCTGAAGGTTAGTGCCTGATCACATCATCCATTTTCTCACCATGTCATCCTGGTAAAGATAACGAATGTGTTCACTTTCCATTTTTATTAACTCATATTTGCTTTACCACAGTTTAGCCCATTCCCATTAGCTGACTGACTGACTGACTGACTGCACTGTGAATGAATGTAACATATGTAGTAAGGTTCAGGTAATTGATTTCCTATTTGATTTACTGTTTGAATACTGTGACTTAACACACACTGATTGTCTGTCAAACAGGTGAAAGAACAGTATGTGTTGGAGGCTCTGACACAAAAGAAAACAACAGCAGGGGATGAGACTTTTGTAATTAGCTACAGGATGGAAGATGTAAATATCACTATTTGTGTGCAGTTGTGTTAGTGTTATGTTATCACAGTCGATGTCAGTGCACTTTAGATACTTCATGCGTACTCAGTTCTCCGGTAAAGAAGCCACCCCAAAGTCTTAGTAGAGGTTTCAACTTCACTGTAATTGTATTGTAGCCACATTTGATTCCCCATCCAGTATTTCTAGCTGGGTACTGCTGACAGTGAAGAGACCCAGACCGTGGTCGATGACACTTAATACAAGGTGTCAACATTATCACCAAGTGCCTTGCTGACAGGTGTGGGTCATCATGCCTCATCACAAACTTCCCTCTTCAGCAGCATGGATCATTTCACGGGCTGATACCCCTCCATGCCATGACAAAAGGCTGTCAAGAATCTTCTCTTGTTGTCTTCCTGTCTCTTTTTCCACAGATATTTCCAGTTGTCATCGAGCAAAGACTACTAATTCTTCTATTCTACGGTTTGGTCCTTTCCCCCATTGAATACGCTCTGGCCATCCTCACTGTCAGTGCTACCCAGATTGAACGACTCGAAAAGGTGCAAAATGAAGCCATGCGCATTATTTTGGGATGTACAAGAGACACATCCTGAGGAGCAATGAGGTATCTACTTGACTTTCCAACAATGAAGCAAAGGATCAGGTTGTGGAGGGCTCGGGCATATCTCAAAATATGTGCTGATAAGAAACACCCACTGCATCAAGCGCTTTTTAGTGAAAAGGGCGACAGACTGAAGAGTGGAAAATCATGGCTAGGTCGGGAAGAAGATGTTATTAGGCAAATATGCAGCCTAACCGACATCATACCTGGTGCAGAATGGATACCTGTGCCTCAGGCGTTTATTTGTACATTTTCCTGTATTGTCACACTCAACAGGCGATGTAGAGAAGAGAATCATGTTGCTGTTAATGCAGAGGTCAACGCTCTCATCAGTGAAAATTCAGACGAAGCAGATGCACTAATCTATACAGACGGATCCGTTATACGCCAAAGAAAAAGCGCATGGGCATTTATAGCACGCTCAGTGGGCAGAACAGTCAAAGAAGCCAACGGCGCCTTCTCCATGACAACCAGCAGCATGACAATGGAGGTGATGGCAGTGACGCAAGCGTTTGCCTGGCTTGAAACACAAAAATACACCCGCGTATGTATACTCAGTGATTCAATGAGTATGATCTGGAGGGTTCAGGCAGGTTCAGTGCGAAGACAATGGCTTGAATCATTACAGAAGTCTACTGTGCGTGGAGTCACCTTTATTTTTGTTCCGGGATACGCAGGCGTCGATGGAAATGAAAGAGCTGACAGGTTGACTGGATCCGCTATCACTACCGACGGTCAGCCTATGGATCATGCTGTTATTATCAATGCCCTCAGAGAAATGGGAAGGATAGAGGACTTTGGTGGCAGTGAATCCACATCACTCGCCAGAATGGCAGACTTGGGAATTAAGATCGGCACAGCAAAAAACGAGACGCACACCAGCTACGCCAGAAGACTTGTTAATCAACATAGAACTGGTACTATTAGCCATCGGACGTTGGGGTTCATACTGAGGGGAGGATCTGAGCACCTATGGACATGTCCGGAGTGCAATGATGATAACCCAACTAACTAACTAACTAATTTCCAGTTGTCACAAAATGTGCCAGTTTCCTTCTCATAATATGACCCAAAAAATGATGATGGTCTCTTTCTGATGTCTGATAAGTTGTCTTCGTGACGTCACCTCTTTCAAATCATCTGGGTTGATATTTTTTTTTTTTTTTTGGCTGTACAAAGAATTCTAAGGATTCTTCTGTAAAACCACATTTCCAGATGTAAAGAAATTGGCTTATTTATAAATTTTCCGAGATTCACATCCGTATATTAAAACGGGCTCTATACACAAGTTGTACATACCATTGTGTAAACTAGTAGCCTTCAAATCTTGAGCTCAGACATTGTCTTGTTTGAATAGTAAGTGGCTGGAGAATAAAATATTGTTGTGGTGTATTCTGAAAATAGCAGAGAAGACCATCAAAATAGGTTAAAACAAATGTGTGGCAGAAATTCTGAACATCATCACTTTATTGTACATCTGGTAGATATTTGATTTCAGGAGAGAGATAGGTAGACATAAATGATACCCTCTGGCAAGTGCTTACCATGTGGGTCCTGGGGCTCTGCAAGTGCTTTCCGTATCAATCCTGAGGCCCTGGCAAGTGCTTACCATCTAGATCCTGAGACCCCGGCAGGTGCTTACCATGTGAATCCTAGGGCCCTGGCAGGAGCTTACGATGTGCATCCTAAGCCCTGGCAGGTGCTTACCATGTGGATCCTGGGGCCCTGACTAATTCTTACCATGTGGATCCTGGGGCCCTGGCAAGTGCTTAACATCTGGATCCTGGGGCCCTGGCAAGTGCTTAACATCTGGATCCTGGGGCCCTGGCAAGTGCTTAACATCTGGATCCTGGGGCCCTGGCAGATTCTTACTTTGTGGATCCTGGGGCCCTGGCAAGTGCTTGCCACGTGGATCCTGGGACCCTGGTAAATGCTTACCATGTGGGCCCTGGGGCCCTGGCAGGTGCTTACCATGTGGATCCTGGCAAGTTCTTACCATGTGGGTTTCGGGACTCTTGCAGAGAAAAGAATTCAAAACAAGGATACACTAAACAAGTTTTGTGTGTGTGTGTGGGTACTGACCAGTTTTTCAAGTTTTTAAATGGAAGAGTGTAAGGCATGTTGTGTGATTTCCACTGGCACAGGAACTGAACAATTATGGGGCAGTCTGTCTGCAGTGATGTTGGAATCTTGACTAGTGACAATAATAAGAGTTAATAAAGTGTAAAAGTAAAGGCCCCTAATCCATGTTTTCAGGTGTTTTCAGCATGTAAGGTTAGAACTGTATCTAACAGACTAATCGGCACTCAGGGCATGAAGTGGTCAACATTACGCCAGTTGCCTCTACTTTTCAGGACTTTACCTGGTACCCAGTCAAGTTGACCTGGAAGCCAGAGTAATTTTTGAAAAAAAAAAAAAATCTGGCACCATTCGGATTTGAACCCATGACTTTCCTGTGTGCATGTAAGCATCTAACTGCCACACCATAGTGGCTCCCCAGAGTATAGATTAAATTATAAAATCCTGAAATGGTAAATGAAACTGTTGAACAAATTTATGCTTACAACTTTCAGGCTGTTGCCACTCGTGATGCTATGGCCAAATGTATATATGGGGCACTCTTTGACTGGATTGTCTTGAAAGTGAACCAAGCCCTTCTGGCAAAGAAGCATGACTCGGAGCATGAAGGTGACTCTATAGGAGTGCTTGATATCTTTGGGTTTGAGGACTTTGGCATCAACAGTTTTGAGCAGTTTTGCATTAACTATGCCAACGAACATCTGCAATACTACTTCAACCAACACATCTTTAAATTTGAGCAGGTAAATTAAATATTTTTCTTTTCCTCCAAATCCTCCTTGTCTTCTTCTTCTTCTTCTTCTTCAGCATACTGAGCCCTTGAGGTTTCAGTGCTGCACATGCCACCTGTCTCTGTTCATCTCTATTATCTCCCTTTTCTCTCAAGTTGATGACTCTTAAGTGTTATTAGGTTTGCCAGTATATTCTTTCTCCACCGTCTTCTCTATCTGCATTGTAGTCTGCTCTCATTCTACACTATGTACATGCAGTTTTTGTCTCTGAGTTGTACTCCAGGTTTCAGAGCAATGAAAGGCAGTTGGTCTTATCAATATTTTATATATTGTCATTTTGGTGCTACTAGGTAAACCATTTGATTTTAGCAGATGTAGAGATTAATTGTGTTTTATAGATTAAATAAAATGATAATCATTATATCCTTGTCATTGAAGGTTACAAACAGAAGAATCTAGTACCTAGAACACTTTTAATGTGGCTGTCAATCCTGGTCACCTAGTAAATAAACAACAAAAAGATTCCCTGAGACCTCAGTGATATGGTATATAATTTTTTGAACAGCAGAACAAGTAATTTAAATGTTTTAAAACTGGCTAAGACAGAGATAACATATCAGTAGCACTAGAAAAAGACAGTCATAATTTTTTGCACATTGTAAAATTAAAATTAAAACATCTGACAAAGGGTAAAAGGGGCATAAAAAAGAGTTAACACAGAATTTACACACGCTGATGAAGATCGCACAGTGTGGTCATAAATCCTGTACCAGACTGCACACGCTTGATGGTAAGGAAATTAGTCAATGTACATTGTAGCAATATTGATGATTTTTGTGCAGACACAAATAAGTTGACACAATGAAAATATGACTGGAAAACTCAACACAGGCAAAAGGATTGCAAAGAATAGTCCCAGAAGGCATGGCACCAGGAAAGAAGAGTAGGGGCTGATCCGCATGAAGACTAGTACAGGATATAAGTGACACCTTGGTATGAAAGTGTATGAGGTGGAAGAACTGGCGAGAGATAAAGTTTTTTTTAGGCAGACTGTGATGAGAGCAACCTTCTGTGAAGGATGGGCTACCTTCTGTGAAGGATGTGCTACCTTCCGTGAAGGATGTGCTACATGATGATGATGTATCTATTGACAATAACTGTTTAAAAAGATGTCACGCAGTATATGTTGGACAACTCATCTCGTCTTCTCTCTTCTGAAAGCTGTTCATGAAATCTGAAGGACTTTTCCTTATATCTTCTGTTGATCCTTCAACCCTTTATAGTTACCTCTCTTTCAGATAAAATGCCCAAAACACTTTTGATAATGAGTATACCTGTTTGTAAAGCTAAAAAAGCTAAAACACCCCAAAACTTTATTGGTAAAAAGAAAAACATTGGTGATTGGTTGCTAAGTAGTTTTTCCCGTCCAGTATTTTCTCATTACCCCTTTTGCCCGGCAAATGCTTAAAAAATGGGTCAAGATCCCCTGAGAATTTCCTTTAAAACAAAATCCTTATAATAAACAAAAGCAAACCATAAATTCTTTACAATTTTTTAAACATTAATCTGCATTTTTGTTTGAAAAAAATTTCCTCTTCAAAATAAAGGAATATGAATAAAGTAATGAATAAACACAGACTCGGGCATTCAATGGAATGCATCCCTAGGGACTTAAAATGAATATATATCGACAGACTCATCCCATGACCCTGTGACCTCTATCAGGGAGGCTAAGAGGCAGATTTCACTTTACCCTGGCTTTTTAAAAAAAGAAACTATTGGATTCCCAAGGAAACCCCTCTAAACGCAACATTTAATTATTACAAACTGCAGAAATGGCTGTGTAACAATCAGAAATGACTAGATTTAGCTAACTCTTGGCAGTAAGGTTAAATATTATCTGGCATTTAATAATAGTCTGGTTTCTTTGTTGCAGGAATATAATTGAAAATGAGTTGGAAACAGCTTATCTCTTCATCTGTCTTTTGTAATCTGTTTATTAAATCTAAAAGACTCTGTTTCATGTGTCTTCTTTATCCTTCAACCAGTTTCCTTTCTTGGTATCTTTCCTTCTCAGTATTAGGTACCAATTTCTATAAAGGGGAGCTGCTGTGGCAAAAAGGCTAGCCACTTGCCTGCTGGCCTAAAAGTCTTATGTTGGAATCTGCATGGATTTAGATTTTTTAAAATATTGGCCCTGGCTTCCAGGTTAATTCAACCAGGTAATGTTCTGGGAAGTAGAGACAATTGCATTGAGCACATCACCCATTGAGTACCAGTGGTTTTACAAAACTATGAGTTTGGCATCATAATGCCCAATATAGAAAGGGTCTTTTGCTTGTTTACTGTTATTTATATTTGGCTAAAATTAACCGATAACTGTACTGGTAAAAAAAATGTATGATTGGTTTGCTGGGGAGTTTTTTTTTCTTTTTTTTTTCATTTTTGCCTTATTAACGTATTGACTATCTTTCTTTCTCAGTTGAGACGAGAAAGAGAATTCTTAAAAGCTATATAAATCCTATCTTGATATACAAAAGTCAATCATGGACAATCTGCATTCCTTGGTCGTGTGATGAGAAGGAGAAAACTGGAGTAAATTGTGACTGTAGGAAAGTTGGAGGGGAGGGGAGGGGAGGCAGAGGGAAAAGATGCTGGACAGTTTAACACCATGGCATGGAGGATCATCTGTATCAGAGTTGATTGAAAGTACATGAAACAGAAGGTTGTGGATAGACATGATTGCCAACGCCACACGACATAGACTTTAAGAAGAAGAAGATATTGACTGGCATTCAGCAGTGGTGTATTTTCTCTTTTGCAGGAAGAATACCAAAGAGAAGGAATCCAGTGGAGGAATATTGAATTTATAGACAACACTGGAAGTTTGGAACTGTTTTCTAAACGTCCAAATGGACTTTTCTGTCTGCTTGATGAGGAGTGCAGGTAAACATTGCTTTAACTATTCTGGTACCAGAGAAGAGTTATTTTGATTATAAATCAACACATGAGGCGTCTGTTGGTACTTAAAAGAGTTTTTGTTAAATTATTGTTCTTGTTATTATTTTCGAGCTAGGTGACTGTTTGGAAAGACTATGAGGGTTCAATAGCATGCCACCTTTTGACCTCTGGGCCCTCTGTTAACAAGGCCAGTGCATTTCAAATTCTCGATACACTCCCTGTCCAGTGGAAGAGAGCTAAGATTCCTTGAAGCCTTTACTATTTGTTACCTCCCTCCAGAACTTTGTAAACAGACAGGCATGGTTGTGATGATGCAATTGCCCTGGTAAAACATGCAGTTGCTTTTGAATTTGTACTTCAGATATAAATATTCACTTATCTGCTTCATCTGTTTCATTATTATTGTAGCATGCACCTGACGACATGCAGCAAAATTTGCCAGGCAATAAATGCTGCAATCTATTGTGTGTGTTTTCTTTGTTCAAATTTACAACAGGGAAACATTGCTTTGTTTAAATAATTGTGCCCAGGCCCTATTTTCTCTTGTTTTCTGTTGGATGGATTTAATAGTCTTCAATAGAGACACTGTGTAGCATGTCAAAGAGTTGGTTAGCGTGCTTGCTTACTAAGAGACTGAATCCTCTTGATAGCTGTAGCATATATTAGTATAATCCTATTTTCTGACCAGTACAACCCTGTCACATGTTTCAGCCTTATGAAATAGACACTGGTCATCTTTAACTCTTTAACTCCCAAGGAACGCATCATACGTTTATAGGTGTCTACTTAGAAGCCCAGTTAACGCACGATGCTCTGATTTTACATCTCTATTTACTACCCATTGGGCCTTCAATGCTAAACCCCCTGGGACTAAAAGAGTTAATAACTTTATGAAGGCTTTCCTATATACCAGCCTTAGGAAATAGTTTTTGTTAATTTACTTGCAAATGTGAGCAAGAATATGAATACAGAAATTGCACTTTCAAAATGTGTTTCTGTCTTTACATATTTCTTTGCAACTGCATCATACCTCTTCTTGTTAAAATTCCCAGCTCTTGATGTTCATTGCTGCAGATATCACCCACTATATTTATCTCTGTGACTGTGATTTTCTTTCCTGGTGGTTACTGAGTATTTATTGGTCTTCATATATATATATATATATATATATATATATATATATATATATATATATATATATATATATATATATATATCTCTCTATCTCTTGTTGGCGTACCTCATGCTTTTACTTTTCTCCCTATGCCCCAGCCATTTCAGTCTAATAGCCACCAAGATGCCAGTAATTTGCATCATACTACACATGTGTAAATATGTAGGTTATAGCCAAGGACTCCTTTAATTCTCATTGAGCATATGGTGCAGGTGACATATTTGTATACACCAATCAGCATTCAGTTGTTGAATCGGTTAACACAATGCTGGTAAACTTTAGACCAATCAGCACTCAGTAGTTGATTAGATCAACACCATGCTGGTAACCTTAGACCAGTCAACACTGGGTAGTTGATTCAGTCAACGCCATGTGGTAAACTTTAGACCAACTCAGTAGTTAATTAAGTCAATGCCATGCTGGTAACCTTAGACCAGTCAACACTGGGTAGTTGATTCAGTCAACGCCATGTGGTAAACTTTACACCAACTCAGTAGTTAATTAAGTCAACGCCATGCTGGTAACCTTTAGATCAGTCAGCACTCAGTAGTTGATTAGGTCAACGCCATGCTGATAACCTTTAGGCCAATCAGCACTCAGTAGTTGATTAGGTCAACACCGTGCTGGTAACCTTTAGGCCAATCAGCACTCAGTAGTTGATTAGGTCAACGCCATGCTGGTAACCTTTAAGCCAATCAGCACTCAGTAGTTGATTAGGTCAACGCCATGCTGGTAACCTTTAGGCCAATCAGCACTCAGTAGTTGATTAGGTCAACGCCATGCTGGTAACCTTTAGGCCAATCAGCACTCAGTAGTTGATTAGGTCAACACCGTGCTGGTAACCTTTAGGCCAATCAGCACTCAGTAGTTGATTAGGTCAACGCCATGCTGGTAACCTTTAAGCCAATCAGCACTCAGTAGTTGATTAGGTCAACGCCATGCTGGTAACCTTTAGGCCAATCAGCACTCAGTAGTTGATTAGGTCAACACCGTGCTGGTAACCTTTAGGCCAATCAGTACTCAGTAGTTGATTAGGTCAACGCCATGCTGGTAACCTTAAGACCAGTCAGCACTCCTGGTACCTTTTTTCTGGAATTTTTTTTTTTAGGTTTCCTTGATTTGAATTCAAACCTGTGAGCACCAAGCTGGTAGGCTGGCTGGTATGCTGCCACTATGTTGTCTTAGCTCTTATGTACATATCTACTTTACTTCTTCTCTTCCTCCAGTTAGTTAGCACAGCATAATGTTGGTGGGTGATGTAATGATTTGTGTGCTTTTTGATATGTGGCAGAAGTTGTAACTTCTTTAAGGCTGTTCTTGATGCTGTCATTCCATGTTTTGTGTGGTCTTTCCCTTGTTCTGTGTTCATTATATTTAGCATGGCTCTCTGTGGCAGTTGGTGCCAGCTCAATCACATCACAAATCATCTCATCCTTTGCTCTTTAATGAATTGTATACTTTTACATTATAGTTTAGTGAGGAATACAGACTTCACCAAAATATTTATATAAACAAAATTAAATGTTGCTTTCAATTGTTTTGTTTTGCTGGTATGCAAGATCAGAAAAAACTGTAAATATTTCTGTATACTAATTTTCTTTTTTGATGCCAACAGTTTTCCAGCTGCCACCAACGAAACTTTGCTCAACAAATTCACCCACCACCACAAAAACAACCCTCATTATCAGGTTCCGCAGTTGAAAGAAGAAGTCTTCAGCATCATGCACTATGCTGGGAGAGTTAAATACTTTGTCAAGGTAATCACAAAAACTCTGATAAAACAGACATGTTTTTCATCTTGTTTTAATGAGAAACAAGGAAGGGGAAATAAATTGTTCAGTGTTGAATATTGCTATCAGTCTGACAGACAAAAGAAGCGAAGCACTCATTTTATGCAGATAACCAAAATGACAGTTTTCAGGCTGCCTCCTGCTGGCCTCTAATGTTGCAGGCCATGATGAATGAGAGCCTCTGTATGTAAAAGTAAGGTAAAATAGCCATTAGCAGGACGTAAGATTCCTTGGGTGAGCCTAGTACTAGAGCACCATGTGTCAGCTCTGCTTTTCAGGAAGCTTCCTTGAATGGCAGGGAATGCTCCAGTTCTGCCCCTATCTTCTCTTGGAGACTGACCAGCAGTACTTGGCTGCTCTGGTCAAGTCTAATTGGGAGGGTGGGAGGGGGGGGGGGGGGGGAGTTCACCATCTGTGGATTAGAGAACACAGATGAGCACACAACTGTGAGACTGCAGTGTCCCACGAAACTAACCATGAAGGCTAGCTTGGGCACAAATGCCTGCAGAAGTAGGATGTATCCGACGAAAGGTACAAATATGGCAGCCATGTTGTAGACGGACACAGTTACATCCTCAGATGAACAAAGAATAAAAAGAAGAAATATTGCTGTCTTATTCTTCAAGTATATGCTGTGTGTTGGTAATCATGTCAATTCACAGCCTTTGGTCTCATAATCTGGGACAATCCTACCTTTCTTCCTCTCCATATTTTCTTTTGTCGTGACATATTCCAGTTTTCCCTTTTTCATAATGTCTCGATGTACTCCAGTTTTTTTCTTTTTTCATAATGTCATGACGTACTCCAGTTTTCCCTTTCTCATAATGTCATTACATACTCCAGTTTTCCCTTTCTCATGATGTCTCCCAAGATTTCACAGATTTTTTAACTTCTGATGGGGAGCATTTTATTACCTCACTTGACAAAGATATATGACCTAGAATATTATTCATCCTGTGAAATTGTATTTTTTGTGTTTGGGCTGTTACATTTAACAACTTTAATATGTCTTACATATGCTGTTATACCTGCTGTTATTAGGGCACCTTAATACTTGAACATATTGACTTGCTTCAGACCAGTCCCATTTTTAAAAATAGTTTTACATGTTATCTGTAGACATAAACACTTTGCAACATCATTAAATTGTTTCCTCAGTCTAACTGTTCACAGTGATAAGACAGCTGGTGTCTTTCAATTGTTGACTTTGTTTCTTCGGAGTTAAGAAGGCAGTTTCATATTTATAACATTAAAGTTCTGTTCAGCTGCAGATGTTTTTACAGCAAACTGCATGTGGCATTTATTTAATTGCAGTGTTATGAGCATGGACTGTTTACTTTAAGTGACAAACTGCCTGATGTAAAATTGCCTAATTAAAATGAAAAAAGGCCACGATTTCAGTAATAACTATGAAATATGTTTCTTTCAGGATTTCAGAGAGAAAAATCTGGACTTAGTGAGGCCAGAAATTGTAGCAACACTGAAAATGAGCAGCATGGCTTTTGTCAGGGAAATAATGGGTATGTTTCATTTAGATTCTTATTTTAAGGCTCTTTTTTTAAACTAATATTTGAAGACTGGTGAGGGATATGTAAAAGTCGGAAGATAATTTTAAGAGATGAATAAAACAGCACGCAGTCAGAGTGTTCAGCCAGTGTTTTACCAGAATTTGGAACCAGAGTGTTTAACCAGAGGTTCATCCAGAGTGTTCCACTAGTATGCAGCCAATTTTTGTTTAAACCAGAGTTCAACCAATTGTTTAGCCAGAGTGTTCAACCGATTCTTTAGCCAGAGTGTTCAACCGATTGTTTAGCCAGAGTGTTCAACCGATTGTTTAGCCAGAGTGTTCAACCAGAGCTGGAGACGGAGTAGTGGAGGTTAACTGTAGTCGACCTACATTATGTAGACCGCACCTAACTGGTCACTTGATTTCTTGATGTGTCAGTCGTTTTATCTCTCGAGTGCCATTAACATGTTATGGTCTGCAATACCCTTTGACCTGTGTTGTCATTGATGCATTCTTAAAAGTTATTCCAGTTCATCCCTGCTATACTGTCTTCCTTCTGCACACTGACCTTTATCTTCTCTAAGTAGCTGTGTTTTTTCTTTTAATGTTTGTAGTATGTTAATTGCCTGACGTTACAGCAGGCAGATTGAGGTGAAACTTGAGAAGAACTTAAATTTGACAAGGGAGACATTCTGAAGACAATTTTTAAACTGATGCTACCAGTGCCAGATATGGTCACTGACAACAAACCAGAAAAAAAAAATCATAACTGAGAAGGACTGCAGAAGTAACCAGAAGAGATGCAATCAGGAATGAGGTTGTGAGGGACAAAGTCGGCACAGAACCAATTATAAATTTCATACAGCAAATCAAATGGTTTGTCCACTTTGAGAGAAGGCTTTGTGATGCCATACAATGCAAAGCATACACCAAAAAAAGGTAAAGAACATAGAGCACAAGGTAGACCTAGAAAAATATGGATAGAGAACATCAGAGAAACTCTGCAATAGTCTATGGTCAAGGTGGCCAGAAGAGCAAGAAACAGTACCTTATATCTTCTTCAACATCGAAAGCGGTGCAAGAGAAAGTGAAAAAGAAGAAGAAGACAGAGAGTATGTCGGTACACCCAGTATTCTATGAAGTTGATACTTAAATTAGTAGTCAGTAAACATGATAAAACTGGGTTAAATTTGACCCTGCTAAAACTATTAAGCAAAGACATCATTAGGAGGCATCACCTGATATTTTAAAATATATTGACTTCTCAGGGATCGACCCAGTAGCTGTTCTTCGCTGGTCCATAATAAGAGCATTTTTTAGATGTTACTTTGGTTTCATCAGAGCAGGAGAAACCTACCGGAAAAATGGGGGTAAGTTTAATCATAAACATTGTTGTTGAGCCCTTTTAACTGATTGCTGTTAGGCATTGCAGGCATGTGTAATGATCGGTTTACGGCGGGTTTCCCAAACATTTCTTGGCCGTGGCGCCTTTTTTTTTAATTGAAATTTTTCTAAGGCGTCCTAACCTAAGTAAAAGTATGACTATTCATGTCTTGGTTAAATTAAATATAAAGCTTTTACAATATTTAATGGCTTCCCTCTGAAGAGGTCGTGTCTCCCTGGGGCGCCATGGCGCACAGTTTGGGAATCACTGGTTTACGGGATAGTGTGCACTTGTTATCTTGCTGCATGGTGATATTGTTGAGTTTTAGCAAGTTAACTGCATCTACCCATCTTCCTCTTGGTCTTCCTCTGCCTCTTGATGTTTCCATTCTCATGTTGTGTGCTGTTGCAAGCAGTGATGCTGGGTTCATTCTGGCCAGATGGCCAAACCAATTCAGTCTTTGTTTTTCAATAAATCTAATTACAGGTGTTGTTCTCACCATTCTAATATATTTGTTTCTTTTATGGTTTCTTCTTGTTATGTTGACTGCTCTTCTCAAACATCTCATTTCACACATGGTTTGTTTCTGCTCTTGTTCTTTTGTTAATGCTCAGGTTTGGCATTGGTAACACAATGTTGGCACTAAGATTATATTTAGAATTCGTCTTTTAGTTTTTCGTTTCATTCCAGTATTGGGAAAGTTGATAAGTAGCAGGGTAACACTGTTTGCTTGGTTAATTCCAGACTCGATCTCTCTGTCCATTCTGCCATCTGATGCGAAGATGATTCCAAGATATTTGAATTAGCTGACCTGTTGTAGTAAATGTTCGTTAATTTTTATGTCACTATTTTGATGTTCCCCGTTTTTGTTCATGATTTCTGTTTTTCGATACACTTACCATACATAGTATTTTCTTTACTGTTTCAAAATATTGGTACAATCAGAGCATCATTTGTAAGAATTAGATGTTGATGATGTGTATTATGATGATGATTATTATAATTTGCCAACTGGTGAATGAATGAAATAATAATAAGGCGAACAGAGCAGAATGTAATAGAGGTCTCCATGCCCAAATCTTAACAGTTTCAAAATAAAGTCTGTTTTTTTTTTTGTTGACTTAGGATGAGGTTGAGCCATGAGTCTTGACTTTAGACTATTTTTAGGAAACCTGTTTGTTCTGTTATGTTTTCCATATCTTCTTCATATGTAAGTTTTTCATTTGAGCTGGTTCTTATAATTTTTCAGAAATCTGACATCTCAATCACCTCTGTACATTAGTTAATACATTTGTTGTCCATATTTCAGAACCACATATTGCAACAGGCAGTGTATACTTATGAATGATTGTTTTCCTTAGATCGATTGATACTTAATAGCTCTCATAATTTCTTGAGAGGAAAAAACACACACACAAAAACAAATCAGCAGTAACAAACAAGGTTTTGTTTAGAAATGGATCTGACATTCCCCCCCCCCCCCCTACATTTTTTGTTCCCCCCCCCCCCCCACCATTTTGGTTCTCCCTCCTTATAACCCTCCCCCCTCCCCATTTTTTTCTCCCTCCTTATACACCCCCACCCTCATTTCCCCCCCCCCCCTCCTTATACACCCCCCCCCCCCCCCCCCCCCATTTTTTCCTTCCTACTTATACACCCCTCCCATTTTTTTCCTCCCTCCTTATACCCCCCCCCCCCCCTCTCTCTCTCAAATAATTAAATAAAAGACCCTTTTCACACTAGTGGCGCATCAGGCATATGATGCTAGACTCCTAAAGGCCCATCAGCACTAGATGGGTGATGTGGTCAGCATCATGTCAGCCACACTTACTTCCCAAGACTTCTCCTGGTACCCATTTTAGGCTGGGTCGACTTTGAAGTAAAGGTCATTTTGGAAAACATACAACCATTGGATCTGCATGTGAGCGTCTTGGTGCTATACCAGCACCCCTCCTCCCCTGCAATATGTATTTATGAATAACTCTTTCCTTAGATTAAGTGTTACTGTATAGTTCTCATAAGTTTTTTTTTTTGGGAGGGGGGGGGGGGAGGGAAAGGTGGTAAAGAAGAGACCTGACCACTCCCCTCCCCCTTTCCCCCTATATGTATTTATGAATAATTCTTTTCCATAGATCAAGTATTATAGGATAGTTCTCATAATTGTCTGAAAATGAAGGGTGGTAATGAGGGGACCTGGGGCCCCCTCACTTCATCTTTTTGCCCCATTTGTTTAGGTCTATGTTGTATCATTTCTTGGTCAGATATGACTGTGCTACCATATAACAGTAGTCCATACTACCTGTTCTCTGTTTATGCTGGATGATGGATGCTGTATACCACTCGTGATATCCCTTTGTGCCAAAAGCTTCAGGTGGAGTAGCACATGGGGAAGGATACTAGCCTCATCTTTGGATGAGGAAATGCAATTTGAAAACTTAATGTTATGACAGGGCAGACTCAGCCCTTTGCCTTGGTTAGCAGGTGGTCTAAGTCAGACGGAGCACTGCTGTTCTGATCCAGCAGCTTTTGCAGTATGCTTTGTTCCAAACATATTGGTGTTACTTTTTCTCTGGAGTAAACAAAGTAGGCTGGGGAAGGAATCATACTGCATGGGCAACACTAGGTCTCTATCCTAGTTGTATACTGCATGCAATGTAGTATTTTCTGTTGTATGCATTGCAGGATTTTCTATTGTAATGTAACTCTTAATCAATCTTCCTTTGTTGTGTAAATCAGGGAAAGATGGCCATAAGCAACAACAAAGGCGGGTATCGGACAATTCTGTTCAAGATGTTTTTAATGAGAACTTACTCAGGTAAGCGTCTTTCAGCATTTGTGGTGTGCTTCTCAGAGATAAGTATGAAATGATTTTTATTTTGTTTAAACAGTGAAGACCAGGATTACTTATCTCTTGTTGTTTTTTTAAAACAGTCAAGAATTAAATTATTTATCTTCCAACCCCTTCCCCCCAAAATAAAAAATAAAATTAGGAATTATTATTGTTAGGGCCTTTCTTTGGTTATGAGTCTTCCTAAAAATGGGCCTTCATCTTTACCTCGTCGTCTGGGGTTCGACTCTCCCTCTGGCATAACAAACAGAGGTCTATGAGGTACTACCTCAAATCTAGACTCAACTCCATGGTTTAAGTTCCACATCCTGTTTAATTTTTACAGAACACCTGAGATGATCAGTGTGAAATTAGATAACCAGTTGTTACTTTATCATTTAGCACTTTCAGTCCTGTTTAGTTGCTACTTCAACCATTTCTACCCCAAAGTATATTTACTTTAGAACGATAACTTTTGCATCTTACGGATGTAAAACAAATTTACACTAGGCCTAGAAAAGGGTTATAGTAAAAACAAAGTAAGAAGATTTAACATATCTTCTTCTTATTCTTTTCTTCTCCTTTTTCTTCTTCTCCTCCTCCTCCTTCATCTTAATCTTTGTCTTCATCTTCTTTTTTCCCCTTCTCTCCCTCTTCCTCCTTCTCTTCTTCTTCTTCTTCTTCTTCTTCTTCTTCATCGTGTTCACCCTTAAAGAGGGTGATTGGTACGGTATATTGTGGTTTACAGCTAGGCTGTAATATCTATGCCTTTCAGCCTAACGCATCTAAGTTTAGCAGATTTCTAATTAGTTGCCTTTTATGACATGCTTGTCAGAGGGCAACAGGTCTGTTCTTTTTTCCTTTAAAATGGGACCCCAGAACCCACACGAGGAGCATATGATCATAAGTAGGACTGTTTTAAACAGAAAATATTATCTTACTTGTGGTTCACCATACTCTTGTTAGTTTTTTTGTATGTTTTATGTATAGCTGTTTGCAATGTTACTGTTCTATGTTCACCTTTGCTTTGTGATGTTGTTTATATTGTTACTCCCTCACATTGTTGTACCATAAATAGTAATTGGTCTTCAGTTGCTTTTCTGATTGTTTAATTATTTGTTGCTTTTGTTTCTTTATGTTGTCTATTAGACAGATTTGAACATTCATAAGATTTGAATTTAAAAACAAAAATGAGGATTGAAGTATAGGCAGTCAGTGCAACCCTTATGTATCTCAAATAATGGGAGTATATACCCAGCATGCCCAAAGACATGTAAATGAAATCTTTACTTTATCATATTTCTTGTAACCACAACTACATAAAATAGAATTATTTACATCACTGCAAGTCATTAGGGACATCTAACAACACTCCAGACAGTTCCTTAGGTTCTTTAGATGTCTCTCTGCAGTAGCTCCACAGTGTGAAATGACTGTTCACGCCCATTCTGTGTTGAATTATCAGATGCCTTGTGTCCTTAGTGAAGTTGTGGTCCCCGTTTGCAGACCAGTATCTGTCAAGTTGGAAGGAGACATGTTAGGACACACCTATATACATTTACAACACACAAATAAACAAGAAACCCTTGCATTACATTTAGAACTTATGTCTCTTATCTGCAAGTTTGGGAGATTGATATCCTAACTGCCCTGTTATATGTAAGCTCTTAGGGCGAATGTTCCACAGAAATAGAAAACAACAAGCGTGGAACTGCATTTTTCAAAATTAATGCTAAACCTTTTGCATTTATCTCATTGGAAGTTTGAAAAAGAATTCATGCTAGTTAAATAGAAACCATTTTAATGTATATCTATCAGTCCTGAACAGTTAGCAGAAACAAAAATGTCTTAAAGAAATGTAGCAAGGTTTCTTAGCTGAAAGGAAAATCTCAGTGCTTTTTCTTGATGTCATCAGTATCTTGTGATATTTGATGACAGATATAACTCCTCCTTGTATAGGGCATAACCTCAGCAGGGACAATTAGGCCTTTGTGTTACACAGATATTCTTCTTTCACTTTCATCAGCTGTAAACTCCAGCGGAAAGTTCTGGTGGTTTGTCCATCTCTGGACTTTAGTCTTTTCCCCAGAACCTGAGTTTTGCATGTACATAAATTTTACAAATGTGGCTTATTTGTGTGCAGACTCTTGGTTTTTTGCCTCTTGGGCAGATGTACTCTGACTTCAAAGGATGCCCCCAGTTGGTCAACTCCTGCAACATGCTTGTTGATGAGGCAGTGAGTCTTTTTTTGTTTTGCCTCCAATGGGGCCTCAGAACCCGCACGGGGGGCCTTAATATAAAAATTGAAAATTACAATTGTAATTATAGTTTACAAAACACATTCATTTTACATTCAGCCCTTAAGCAAACTGCACATAAGTACGCCACATGGTGTTGCCTCTTTAAGAGAATGAGTGGAGCATCTGAGATTTGTCCTGTCAGTTTGACATCTAGGTTGTGACTCTTGAAGTCACAGGGGGGTCAGACTTTCATGTAGCAATCTAGACGGGGAAACCAGGCAACAAATTCATTTTATAGTAGGACAAGTCTAGACATCATGTGGTTCACTATACTGCTGTCACAGATTGTAGTGTAGTTTTGTGTGTAAGTCCTGAATCTGACATTGTCACCTTTGTTCTCTTAAAAAAAAAAAAAAAAAACTTCCACCATTGGTTCCTCTTTAGATTTTACCATGTGGCCTCAACCGCCTCGGTTTTGCGCCGGATTCAGTGAGTGATTACATCATCAACTCTGAAGTTTCTTTGTTCGGTTGATCCTTTTATGTTAATCCCTTTAATAATTCCCCGCATTTTGGTTTGTGTTAATAGAAGCCTTCCTTGGTAATGAGCATGATCTATCTAGTTTATAGAAGACTGACTAACATATGAAAGAATTGCTCTCACACAACTCTAATTTGTTTAGTGGTTGGCTACTTAACATTCTTTTATCACACCTCCTTTTCATTTTTTATTTGGAGGGGGGGGGGGGGGGGTAAGGGAGGGGGGATGGAGGTGATCAGTAATAAAACATTTTAGATTATGAAGAATTGGGGTCACAGTAATGTAGAGGCTCAGGCACTGTTCTGTCCCTGTTGGCTCAAATACCATGTGTTCAGGAACCCCGCTGTAAGGAAAAAATCATATTGCACTCCTGAACTAAATGGGTCAATTCACAAAGGAAATGACCTTCAGGGGTAGAGGCAGATGACTTAACCACTCTGCCATAGAGAATCTCTGCTGATTCATTAAGAAGTCATTGTATTGCAGTCACAAATCACCTATGTCTATTTTGAGAAAAAAAAATTTTTTTTTTAAACATAGAACTTGACATATACACGAATATATTTTGTATTTTAACTGATAAAACATTAAAAATAATGCATGATTCATGTAATGGCCAGTTATTTCAATCACTAGATGCTTTCTTTTGCACTTAAATGGCTCATCTGCTAAATTTGAATACAGATCTTTTATAATTTTGACAAACACAATGTCCAATCTGGATTTACTCCAGGTCAAAGACAAAACAACAGTCAAGAAAACTGGTTATCCAACTTGATAATTATGTGACCTGGTATAAGTTCAATGTGTGACCTAGTGTAAGTTAACTCCAGAAAATAGATTACCCTTAGAGAAGTATCTGCTATGACAATTATCCGCATTATGAAGTACAGGGCTCATTTCCCTCTTCATTCTCTTGCTGCATTGACTATGTTGTCTTGTGTGTCCTTCTATCTTTCTACTTCTTTCTATGAGTCCCGATCAATACATTGTCTGTTTATTATATAAAACAAATTTCTACAGCCTCAAGGTATCCCTCTCTGTTTATTTATGTGCACCGAGCATATTAGGCCATACTCATATTTTTATGAACCAATCTTCACTTGTTGGATGTGGTCAGTGACATGCTGGCTGCCTTTATTTCCCAGGACTTTACCTGGTATCCATTTTAGACTGGATCGACCTCGGAGCCAAAGTCACTTTTTAAAAATCTTTTTCAATTCAATAGGTACCTTGCCGACTGGCGTGGGCGATCATGCCTCTCCACAATCTGTGATCTCCTGCAGCATGTATCAATTTGTGTGCTGACACACCTCCATGCCATGCAACAAGACTGTCTAGAATCTTCTCTCATTGTCTTCCTCTATCCCTCCTCTCACAGATCCTTCCAGTGGTCACAACATGTTCTATTTTCCCTCTTCTCATAACATGGCCGAAAAATTATGACTGTCTCCTTCTGATGTCTGTGATAAGTTGTCTTCGGGCTCCCGCCTCTTTCAAAACCTCTTGGTTGCTCTTTTTGGCTGTCCAAGGTATTTTAAACATTCTTCTGTAAAACCACATCTCTGAGGCCTCAAGGAATTGTTTGGCCTGCCTACCGATTGTCCAGGACTCACAGCCATATGTTAAAACTTGATGTATGTAGCAAGCAAGAATTCTTTTTCTAACCTTCAGTGACAGAGATATATTGCATAAGATGTTCTTCACTTTATAAAATGCAGTTTTTGCTTGTCCTATTCTGTTTCTTATTATTAAATTAACACACAACATTAAATAGTCCCTTTAAATGTACAACTGATAATGCCAGTATATGCAGCCTTCTACAACATACAGATGTGAGTCATGGGCTATTTCATAATTACTAAAGAATGAACAAACATTGTTTTCAGAGGGTTACAAATTGGGTGCTCAAGCTCCTCTTACATTTGGCTTATCCAAATACTCTTCTTTCACACATCAATTGTGTTTTATCAATAAAACATGTTATGTTCATATAACAATGTGCATAATATGAATATCAAGGAAAAATCACAAAAGCATGGATGGTAAATGCATGCGCACTCACACTCACTCACACACACAAACATGCACACACACGTGTGCCCTTTACTTTCCAGGGCATTACTCAGGCTGGGTTATAGAAGTTACATTCAGCAAAGCACTTGCAACCTAATATCAAACTGTCTTTCTTTTCAAATCCATAGAAGTAAAGCACCCTTTTCTGCATTTTCAAGCATATTGGGCACATAAGGCTAGACCTATATTGTAGACCAATCTGCACTCCGTAGGTGATGTGGTCAACACCTGCCAACCACCTTTACTTCCCAGGACTGTACCCGGTACCCATTTAAGTCTGGGTCCATGTGGAAGCCAAAGTCATTTGTGACAAAAGTCTGGCTGCGTTAGAACCCCGACCCACAACCTTTGGATCTGCAGGCGATAGTCTAGCCGCTACACCACAGCGGCACCCTTTTCAAATCCTTGGAAATAATAATTCACACTTAAACTTTAATTGTAAATTTTAACTCAAGAGAGTCAAATCCTATATAAGGCACTCATGATGATCTTTAAGAGTTAATACAAACCAATAGTTTACAGAGTTCCAAACCAACAAAGTAAATATACACAAGACATTGATCTGAATATCTGAAGATTTCCCTGTGGAGTTTGGAGTCACATGTTGGAGGGAGGGGTGGCGGGGGGGGGGGGGGGGGGGAGGAATGGGGCGGGGTAAAACAATATAACCTCCTACCCCTTTTCACAACAGACATGTTATTAAAGAGAACTAATTATGGATTTGCTGAAATCGGAAGTGTTGCGCCAAAAAGGACATGTTTATGGCCCCATTTAAGCGGAAATGCAGAAGAAGAAGAAACTGGAAAAGATCTGAAACAAATATACTAACCAAACTTACCAAAATACATTAATTCCAGCAGCTTGTAAGAACTAAGTTAACTCCATCAGAAGATACAGAAAACTTTGATTTAAAAAAAAAAAAAAATTTAAAATAAATTAAAAAAATAAATGAAAAAAGCATGGCTTTTTGTCTGTGTGAGATTTGTAGTAATAAATGCATCTCCCTTTATTTATCAGGATTTTGAATTCCCTTGCATGCATATCAGTGTACATTTCAAACATATTCTTATTTAATTGGGTTGTTGTTGTATTTGATTGAGTTTAAAGAGTAAGATTACTTAGTAATTAGTATTTAGTATGTTGATTTCAATTTACAAATGACAACATTGCATTTGGGACATTCATGATCCATCCCTATCTTCAGCAGCTAGCATAAAGTTCTAATTCTGAAGGTATCAGTTACAATCTTAGTAATCAGTAATTGGTACTTAGTAAAGTTACCTATTATAAAGTTAGTTTATTAATTTGTCCACTTCTGCCCTCTAAATAATAATATCCAACAAGAGTAAACAGACTCATATTTAGTGCATTGTACATTACATGTATAATCTTGTTTTATTTGTTCAGCCTTGACCCAGAAGTTGTCCAACAGCTTCTCTCTCAGATCAGCTCCGGACAGAATTGTCACTCTCCACTGCTAAAAGGTCACCTGCACGAGGAACTACAGTTACACTGTACATTAACCAATGGATTGTCAGAGGATGAGGCCAAGAACATCCGCATGGCTGGGAAGCTTCTCATGTAACGTAGTCCAGATAATATCATTATATTAGAATAAATAACAAAATATGGACATTCCTAGAAAACTGCAAAGCCCAACTAGGCAGTGTCTCAAAACCAAAATCTCTGCTTAGAGAGAGTTGAGTCAAGAATTGACATCACAGCACTCGGGGCATTTCCATGTGTGCTCTGTCCTCATCTTCAGCAGCCAGAGCAGAGTTCTTCTATTGATGGTACCGGTCGAAATCTGGTTATATGTCTGTCTTGCCTTTCCCCTGAGTGTAGTGAGCCGGCCACACCACCTTGTTTTAATCAGATGCCTCATTCTCTCCGGGCCATAATAATCTTCTTTCGCTTTTGACTCCATTGCTTGTTCCCAAAGGGCCATGATCACATCTACATTTGTCATGTATCAATTCACCACCCAGTGGTGCAGAGCCAGCCAGTCTTTCTGCCTGTTCATTCCCCACCACTTCAGCATAGCCTGGAGAAGAGATCTAAAGTATGCTCACTACCCATGACCTTTTCAGTGAAGCTTGCCACTCTGCTCGAAGCATCCCTGTCTTCACCTTTCTCAGCATGCTTTCAGAGTCTGTTACAATTATGACATGAGTATGCATCTTGTTCTTTAGCCACTGGAAAGCTGATGTTACCGCCTCCACCTCTATTCTCATGCTAGACGTGGTGGTATTGTATGTGGCTGTCCTGATCCAAAGATTTTCCTTTGGCTTTCACTAGGAACCCCCCAGCACTTCTCTTCCCTTTCAACACCGAACCATCTGTATAGATTAGAGAGAGAATTATATATATATATTATAGTCTTGCATTTCATTATGGTAAAACTTCCAGCCAAAATGGAGGAAAGGCTTGGCAGAATGTTAAACTTTAAAGTTATTTTTGCTTCTGACAGTGTTGTGCTAAAGCAGTTTTCACATAAGGACGGTAGTCTACCGTTTCACTGCCTGAGCTACTGAGTTTAGTGCTAGGTGCAGCCCTGTGAGCTGCATTTTTCCTATAGAATGCCTTTCATTTGCGCAGCTGTTGTGTCGTTTTGTTTAGTATGGCTGGTGGCCGGTTTACATATGAGCTGGTGAAATACCTTATGTAAGAATTCTGCGTGTGTGTATAGTAACCAACTTATCATGCCTGACTACTTCCATCAATGACAGACTACATTTCTGGTGGCGATTGTTGGCTTTGCCGCCTCGAGCAACTGAAATACTGCGTGCACATATTTGTGGATTGTACCGGAACTAGTTGTTTATTCGCTAGTTTTTCATAGGCAAAAGTGAAGAACATTTCATTTGATTCGCACTGGCACAGGAACGGAGCAAGTATGGGGAAACCCGATTGCAGTGATGTTGAAACCATAGCTAACTAACATTATGTTAAAACATTCTAACCGTTGGAATATAGAACAGCCGTATGATAGTATGATAAACTCATGATAAATGTTACAGATGCTTTTACATTAAAGCTATGTGATAATAAATGATAAAAGGAATGTTAAAGTGTTAAATACAATCTGTGGTGTTATATGCATATAAAACATAGACAATAATCAGACAAGCTTGGAAAACACCCTCTTGCAGCAATGATATATGGTTTTTGAGAAGATTGCAGTCAATGTCATGGAAGTATAGGTAAACAAAGGAAGCAGTCCTCATCGAAACAGATCAAAAACATAAACTGATTTGAGGAATTAGATAAAGACATTTCATATTTTTCAGACATGCAATGAGAAGCAATGGGCTTGGTAAGGACTGGCAAAATTGATCGAAAAAGAGCAAGGTGGAGGCAGATAGATAAATACCAAGATGATTTGGCCATATGGAAAGGCTAAGACAAGAGCAGTGACCTCATCCAGGGTTCTTGTGATCTTACGAGATGGCGAAAAGTTACAGCCTATACTTATTGGCAGATTCTAATAATGAAAAACTTTCCTAATTCTGTTGAATTTAAAATAATTTGCAGTTGATAAACATTCCAAATACTGTTTTCTTTGTAGTATCAGCAATTTTTTAAGGCTAAATCGTCTCTTTACGATTATGTTTGAAATATGATGTAATCTTACTATAAATATTTAACTTTTTTAACTTGTCTCATTTTTGGCATTGATTAACTTCCTTATTACAATTCTTTATTAAAGTTATACCAGTAGTATTTTAACATATTCATTCAAAGAAATTAATCATGAAAAATGAATGTGCGATTAATTGTTACCTTGCTTTCCCACCTGTATCCTGCATGTTAAATGTGATTGATGTACCCTAGTATGTGATTGATGCACCTTTGTATGTGATTGATGCACCTTTGTATGCTTCTTTGTTGGTATAGGCAGAATTTTGTTTTCATAGAAACACTTTGATTTGAGCATTAGAGTTTTGTTGTTTTGAAATTTGTGCATGATTTCTTTAAAAGTTAATTGCAACCTTGAATGAAAACAGTTAACTTTGGTAGTTATACTTATGTATTCATTCATAGATTATAGGATTTAAATACTGATCTGTTATTTAACTTTATTGTCATCCTGATCTTTCCTCTTCTACACTAGGAGAGTATTTTGTGTTTCATTTTAACATAATTACCAAGGCCATCGAGGGCTGCATTGAAACAACATGTGTCATGGTTGCCTGTTGGTGAGATGGTCATGTTTTTGAATTATCACCAGTTTTTGTACGTTCAAAACTGACATTGACTCCCAGGTTGAGCCAGCCTAAAATGGATAGCAGGCAATGTTCTAGGACGTAAAGGTGGCCCAATCTGATGTTATCAAATCACCCACCGAGTGTTGATTGGTCTGTACAAAATATGAGTCTAGTATCTTATATCTGAGACACCACTCTGTGGAGTGCGTGGAAGATTGAAGTAGGTATGATGTACGTGGGCGATTGAAGGAATCTTTGTAGGGATTTTTGTGTGATGTATGTTGGAGATTGAAGAAAGGTAGTTAAGTGTGTGTATGTTGTGTGTATGGGAGAGTGAAGCATGTGTCTTTGTTTGCTGTATATGAGAGACTGAAGCAGCTGTCTATATGTGGTGTATGAAGGAAAGAATGTAAGTATCTTTGTGTGATGTATGTGGGAGATTGAAGAAAGGTAGGTAAGTGTGTGTATGTTGTGTGTATGGGAGAGTGAAGCATGTGTCTTTTTGTGCTGTATATGAGAGATTGAAGCAGCTGTCTGTATGTGGTGTATGTAGGTGTGTGAAGGAAAGAGTGTAAGTATCTTTGTGTGATGTATGTGGGAGACTAAAGGAAGGTATGTAAGTATCTTTGTGTGGTGTATGTGGGAGACTGACAGAGGGGATGTAGGTATCTATGTGCGCTGTATGTGCGAGATTGAAGGAAGGCATGCAAGTATCTCTATGTGAGATGTATATGCGAGATTGGAGAAAGATATGTAAGTATAGATGTGGGTTTGAGACTGAAGGAAGGTATACAAGTATCTTTGTGTGGTGTATGTTGGAGACTGAGGGAGGTATCCGTGTGTAGTGTATGTGGGAGACTGAAGCAGATATCTTTGTGTGGTGTGTGTATGAGAGACTGAAGCAGGTATCTATGTGTGGTGTATGTAGGAGACTGAGGGAGGTATCTGTGTGTAGTGTATGTGGGAGACTGAGGGAGGTATCTGTGTGTAGTGTATGTAGGAGACTGAGGGAGGTATCTGTGTGTAGTGTATGTAGGAGACTGAGGGAGGTATCTTTGTGTGGTGTGTGTGGGAGGCTGATGCTGGTATCTATGTGTGGTGTATGTGGGAGACTGAAACAGATATCTTTGTGTGGTGTGTGTGGGAGGCTGATGCTGGTATCTATGTGTGGTGTATGTGGGAGACTGAAGCAGGTATCTATGTGTGGTGTATGTAGGAGACTGAGGGAGGTATCTATGTGTTGTGTATGTAGGAGACTGAGGGAGGTATCTGTGTGTAGTGTATGTGGGAGACTGAAACAGATATCTTTGTGTGGTGTATGTAGGAGACTGAGGGAGGTATCTATGTGTGGTGTATGTAGGAGACTGAGGGAGGTATCTGTGTGTAGTGTATGTGGGAGACTGAAACAGGTATCTATGTGTGGTGTATGTAGGAGACTGAGGGAGGTATCTATGTGTGGTGTATGTAGGAGACTGAGGGAGGTATCTGTGTGTAGTGTATGTGGGAGACTGAAGCAGGTATCTATGTGTAGTGTATGTGGGAGACTGAGGGAGGTATCTGTGTGTGGTGTATGTAGGAGACTGAAGCAGGTATCTATGTGTGGTGTATGTTGAAGACTGAAGCAGGTATCTATGTGTGGTGTATGTAGGAGACTGAAGCAGGTATCTATGTGTGGTGTATGTGGGAGACTGAAGCAGGTATCTATGTGTGGTGTATGTGGGAGACTGAAACAGGTATCTATGTGTGGTGTATGTATGAGACTGAGGGAGGTATCTATGTGTTGTGTATGTAGGAGACTGAGGGAGGTATCTGTGTGTGGTGTATGTTGGAGACTGAAGCAGGTATCTATGTGTGGTGTATGTGGGAGACTGAAGCAGGTATCTATGTGTGGTGTATGTTGAAGACTGAAGCAGGTATCTATGTGTGGTGTATGTTGGAGACTGAAGCAGGTATCTATGTGTGGTGTATGTGGGAGACTGAAACAGATATCTATGTGTGGTGTATGTTGGAGACTGAAGCAGGTATCTATGTGTGGTGTATGTGGGAGACTGAAGCAGGTATCTATGTGTGGTGTATGTGGGAGACTGAAGCAGGTATCTATGTGTGGTGTATGTTGGAGACTGAAGCAGGTATCTATGTGTGGTGTATGTGGGAGACTGAAGCAGGTATCTATGTGTGGTGTATGTTGGAGACTGAGACAGGCATCTTTGTGTGGTGTGTGTGTGGGAGGCTGATGCTGGTATCTATGTGTGGTGTATGTAGGAGACTGAGACAGGCATCTTTGTGTGGTGTATATTATAGATTGAAGCACAGGCAATCATGTTGTGTAGTAGAAAACTAAAACCCACATACATGTATCTATGTATGAGGAGACTAAAACCTGTGTGCAGGTAAAGGTGGTCAGCTTGATATTTCAGCACATTACCTGTCCAAAGCAGGTGGTATTTACAACTATGACACTAGCATCACATACCTGTTGGGCCTGAAAGCATGAAAATAAAACGTATGTTTCAACCTAATTGTGTTAATTAAGCTTAATTATTTTCTCGTTCATTTTCTTTTTTTTTTTTTTATTATTTTTTTTTTGAACTGATAAAAGATATGTTTCTTTTCTTATTTTTCCTAAAGTTCTTTTATTTTTAACAATATTTATTTATTTCTAGACAACAACAAAAATGAAAGTTTTTATCAAACTACTATTGTTATTTTTCACAGGAAAAATAAGTCTTTCAGACCAAAACAGAGGCCTTCATTAGTAAGTTCCATCTGTCGTCTTGTATCGATAGAATACTATGTAGTTTTTTAAACACATGTCTTGTTTGTCCTTTATGATCGACTACTTGTCGACAAGTAAGATGCCATGATTATAAGGTGACTGATGAGGCTAGTGCTAGCTTGAAAACTTCTTTAACAGGGTGGGCAGCAGATGGTAGACACCTAGATTAGGGCTTGTCTGCTCTGAGCTTTCTAGCTAGTCTCTCTTACCTTGCAAGTGCCATCCCTGCTCTTACTGGTCACCGCACTAAGATCATCTGCATGTGACCATCACCTTCAAATGACTTGCTGACTGGCAAGGGTAATCATGCCTCTCTACAATCTGCGATCTTCAGCAGCAGGTGAATGTGTGCTGATACCCCTCCATGCCATGTCAAAAAGCTGTTAAAAATCTGTGCACTTTGTCTTCCTCTGTTTCTGTTCACAGATCTTTCCAGGGGTTACAATGTGTTCCAGTTTCCCTCCTCTTATAACATGACCAGAAAAATGATGACTGTCTATGTTTGTAATCAGGTCCTCAGCTGTCTGAAAACTTCTGGGTTGCTTTTTTTTTTTTCTGTCCATGGAACTCTAAGGATTCTTCTATAAAACCACATCTTCAAGGCCTTAACTGTATACCCTCTGAATAAACTTTGGGCTGCAGCATCCTGGGTTTCTGTGTTGATGTAAAATTATTTAAGAGCAGTTTTCAGCATTTTTTTTTTTCTTTTTCTGACTGACTGAGGATCTTTTCACAATTCTCACCTTAAAATAATATGTTTTTATGCCACTGGTCTGGCAGGTGACCAGCCCATAAAATCTGATGTTATTTTAGTATAATGTAAATACCTGGTTGATCTACCCATTTCAGAAGCACAGTATTTGGAATCATGCCCTGCCATTTTATTTTCAGCAGTTTTCATAAAAAGATTAAAAGACATAATGAACAAGAATGTAAAAATTAATTTGTACTGAGTATTTAACAAGTTATGTATACAAAATGATGGGGCGAAGTTGGTGAATATTTTGATGTCTATAGAAAATCTGAGAAGTGAATGTGAAAAATTATGCAATATTTAATATGTAAGACCTAAAACATGTGTTCTATACAAATGCCTTTCATGACTACAAACATAAAATCATACACAAAGATAGAAGTGTGAATGAATGGACTAGGATGATGTGTGTTAGAAGAAAGAAATATGGCGGTATAACATAAAATTAAATGGAAAAAGTATTCAACCAATGAATTAGTACATTTTTGGGCTCTCCTGTAAACTACGCCCGGTAGACAACAGTAGACGGCCGGTTAGTCAGAGTTCTGTCCCTTGGCTACAGTGCAATTACGGACTGGAGAAAGCACGAATCAGACCACAAAGTGAGGTCGACATGCCTAGCAGACCCCGCGCTGCAACTTAAATTAGCGATCGCGATCAATTACCGCTTCTTGCGACGCATTACGGAGTGGATTAGAGGGAATGATACAAGTGACAGAATTACTGTGTGTTGGTGATAGACAGCGTGCAGTGACCTACTGTCATCATACGGTTTGGATTAGGTTTAGGGTTAGGGTTTGGGTTGCTACTCTAAGAAGTATACATGCAAAAAGGTGCACAGTAAAGCAGATAAGCTGAGAAACATCCAGTGTCAAAGGTTCATAATAGTGATTTCTGAGGAGAATGTAAAAAATATCCGGGTCTAACATAAAAAATGAGACAGTCCTCCAAGAAACAGATGAAAACTGTAAATGTTTTAAAGAAATTATACACAGTGAAGGTTTTTTGAGGCCTGCAATAATGACACATAAACTTGTAAATGTAATGGCAACTGGCAAACTGCAATAATTGGTGTTTGAATTCTCTCGTTGTCTAGGTGGTGTTCATGTGCGTGTTTTGTGAATGTTCTTCTCACACACTCTACGTTACATAACTGGTACAAGCCGACACCGACGTAAGCGTACGAGACATGAGTTTATTGGCATATTATCACTTTCAGTAGTGTCCAGTTGTTGTCCGAGTAAACAGCTCTCGCACACCAATTCATGCAGCCTTCAACATGCAGGTTCTTCATGCATTCCCTGACCAGAGTCGGCTCCAATAACTCAGGTTGAGTTTCTTGCCATTACACAGACTGGCCTGGTTGATCTTGACTTTACACTTTGTCGTCAGGGTCTCCTTTCGCAACAAACAATCTTATGTTGACATTCTTCCACTCAGTCTCACATCCTCTGGCTCCAACAGGTCGACACAAACTAAACTTGATCAGAATCAAGTCTGACTTATACCACGGGTTAGTTTCACGTGGCAACACGTGGTGGCCCTTTACTTTTACGTGGCGACCTTTGGTCGCGTCGTCGTGATACACGTGATAACTAGTGGTCATCACCTCTCTCAAGATCCTCGTTTAATCCGAGTATCTGGAACATCTCGGTGTTTTGGGTTAGCTTTGGGCCTTCCCCCAACCTTCCTAATCTGGGTGAAAATATCCCCCATTACACAAACACAATAGGAAAAGAGCAAGGGAAAACAAATAAATAACTTTACAGCTTGGCCATATGAGCATAATCAAGACACAAAACACAGATCTGATCCTGTACTCTGTTAATTGTACGTGATGCTCAACTTAAAACATATACATATTAGAATATGGCACATGATAACCAAGATGATTTTCTATTAATAATGCCATTAGCGTAAGTTTCTTAGTTATTTATTGATACCTTGTCATGATCATTTTAGAGTTTCCGTGACATTAAAGCACTGAAAGTGGTTGCCAGCCATACTATGACTGGCTGTGGTCGTGGCACAGGGAATAAAAAACAGCCACCAACAGTTGGGGCCCAGTTTCAGGCAAGTGTTTTTGTTTTCTTGTGTTAAAAAAAAATCTTTATAAACTTCCCTTTCGTCATTAGGTTAAAATTTGTTGACAGATCCTTAAATCCAAGAATAAATAAATAAATGAATCAGTCAGTCAGTCACGAGATCACTGCACTCGCTCTGCCCCTGTCCTCAGTAGCCAATGAAAAGTTCTGATTTTAATGATGCCAGATGTGTCTGATTAAAAGCCTGCCGGTTTTTCCCCATTGCTGAAAGATTTCAAGCCTCAGTCTGGACTCACTAACTCTTTCATTCCCAAACAGCGGCTGATGTGTGAATGTATTTACCCTTATAATCCTCTACATAGCATAATGTGCTCTCTTACTTTTAAAATTTGGTCAGAAATACTGAAGAAATTTGGCTGCCCCCAATGGTCACTACAACTATGTATATTTCCTCTTTGAAATTCATGCATTTATGATTTTGAGTCATGATTATTTTTTTTTTTAGCTTCATATCTCTTGTAAAACATGTTTGTAGTGTGCTATGACCTATTTACATCCTAATATGCTTCCACAAATATGCCAGTTTCCAGTACACTTTTTTTTTAAAAACTTGAAAAAGCGAAGGGAAGCTGTACAGCACTGAAGCTGTGAAAATGTTACTTTGGTACTGGTTGGGAAGAACTTTCTCAGCACCAACCTCAGTCCAAAAGGTGCAAGCCCTATCCATGGCCAAGGCAATGTTATCTGAACACTAATGCATTTTTTATAGCCAGGTTGACTTTGAAATTTCCTATGTGTTCTTCATGGTGTCATGGTATGAGTCATCCAACACATATTTGTTTTCACCCCCAGGGAATGAGTTATTTAGTCTTTCCTCTTGAGCCTAAGGCCGTGCATAGTGCAGAGGTCACAGCTCTCCATGTCTGGCGATTCGTTGCCACCGGAGAATGCATTCCATTTAATGCTTCACTCTGTTCTTATTTATTGATTACTTCTTTCTATGTATCTGTTTATATTTTGAAATACAACAAAATTATAAAATGTAGTATATACCTTTATGAACAGTTCACCTCCCCATGGGGGTTTCATCTCCCTATTTTGGGGAAGGAGAATAATAGATCCACTGCACCTCTAACAAGTGTGTTGTAACAGTTGACTATTCAGGCGTGTTTCCTTCAGTCTGTGCATCTGCCTGAGAGGCAAGGAACCAGCAGTCTGGATACAAATAAGCCAGATCTGTTCAATGGATTTGATGCAAAACTCAAGTTCTGGAACAGGATGCAAGTCTAGAAAAGGATGAATAATCTTAATTGTTTGCTGGCTTTCACAGCTGGTGACTGTGGAGAAGAAAAAGAAGAAACAACTTCGTAGCTATCAGAGTAAAATATTTTTTAAAACAGATTTGTTAAAGAAATTCCCTACGGTTCACCCACATTTTTTATTTTTTTCATTTTATTTTTTTATACCATTTGTGAAGCAGAAGGGTTATATTTGTTCCACAGACCCCCTAGGAATACCCGGTCCACCACATAGGAAAAATGGTTTCAATAAATGAATGGTTTGCTTGTTTTCAATTTTTAATATTTTTCAGTTTTTTCCTCCCCAAACAGTGGTCTCTGTCACGTTTGATGAACACTTTGAACCAGGCCAATCCTTATTTTATCAGATGTATCAAATCCAATACAGAAAAGGTAAGGAGGAATGAGGAGAAAAAGAGATGAAGAAAAGTTGACCAGTTTGTTCATAAACAGTTGTTTCTTTCCATCCCAGTTTTTTATTGCAAGTCTGTCTAGCCATCTTGCCAGTCTACTGATGTACTGAGGGATCCGTTTAGGCACTATGAGACATGTTTGGTGTACAGAAAGCCTGCTGAATATATTGTGTCTACTCAATATTTTTACAGTTCAATCAGCATTTGATGTATGATTTGTTTAACATCATTCCCCCCCTTTCCGTTTACTACTGGAAAAGTTTCCCACTACCCGTTTTGAAGCTGGACCAGCCTGAGAGCCTTGATCAGTTTTTGGCATTTTCCAACCTCAGTTTGGATTTCAACACAGTGCATTTCAGCTGGGATGCCTATTAGCCACCATGTTACCACGTCTTCCTGTGCTGTTGATAAGTGCCATAAATTGACTTTTCCTAATTTTTTTAATGAGCGATCTACAGTATTTCCTCAACATTAAGACCCCTACAACTGTCAGTACCTCAGCTATGGTTTTCTTCTCTGTCCACAGTGTAGTCAGCAGTATTCTTATTTTAAAAACCACACACCCACTGCCTTCATTGTCCCTATAATTGAATTATTTCTTGTCTAGAATTCACATCCACGCGGAAGCGCATCGTCGTAGTCCAGTAACACCATTTGTCATTGGATCTCCAGTCGCTGTTGCCTGTCTGATCAGCTCTCTTCTCCTCTACGGTCAAATGCGATGGATTTGATGTTTGCTTGTCTGAGGCCTGTTTGTTCAGCCAGATTAGTTAGTTAATCCACAGATTAACCTCTTTGCACATTGGACAAGTCCATTAGCGCTCAGATCCCATCTTGACTATATACCTCAGGGTCTGGCCACTGATAATACTAATTCTGTGTAGGTTTGGCTTCTTCTTTGGGTTCTTCTTTTGCTGCCTGTGTAGTGTTCATGTTTGGCGACACCTCTTTTGACCTGAAGTTTTTGTAGTCTTTTGAGAGGTCCTGATTCAATGCCGTCTTCTGAATCATCTTCTCATCCTGCCTTCCTGAGAGCACTGAGAATGTCAGGCTGCTGAATTGCTTTTCCTGTGCCTACTATGGCGCTGCCAGCAAGCCAGTCTGCTCGTTCATTTCCTCTTACCTGGTTCAAAAACAAAACTAATTCCTTTCAGAAGAGATTTCCTTAGCAACTTCAACCATTTTCTTTGAATCCATACTGTCTCTGTCTTCTTAAATATGCTTATGGAAACAGAAAGCATGCATGATTCAGCCAGATTCTGTATTCAGGTCTTCCTTGGTCTGTCTTTTCTCCACTTCCCCTCTATCAAACCCTATATTATCATTTGGGAGAGGCTGGTAGATCTTGGTACATGTCCACACAGTTGCATTTACTAAATATAACAAGCCACATGTATACTTCTAGTATGAGTATTTTTGTACACTCACACAAACAATTCTGACACATTTTTCCCTACATAAACTTTCAGTACAGGTGTTTTATTTTAGTAGTCTTATACTTACAGTTCTGACACACTTTTTCTTAAGGCACCATGTGTCTTTGATGAAGAGTTGGTGATGAGGCAGCTGCGATACACAGGGATGCTGGCCACGGTGAAAATTAGACAGTCCGGCTACAACTACAGACTCTTGCTCAATGTCAGTATTTGACTGTTTGTATGATTGTGATGTTGATCTGTTTTTATTTAAGTTAATGATTGTGTGTTCTCAAAATGAGCTTATGTGTGCTTATTTATTTTATGTAATTTTTTTTCAAATTTTTTATAAAATGATGTATTGTACATAAGTAGTGTCAGGTTATAGAGTAAGACCATTGACATATACTTAGTCTAACACTCATAAACATTGGCTCCAGATCTGCACACATGAAGTTATGCTCATAGAAATGCCCAGAGATTTTTTTTTTTTTAGTTTCTGTTTTACTTTAAAAATTTGCTTGTCAAATTTTTGAGCACTTGTACCAAAAGTTTAAGATAAGATGTAGGACCCATTGCTATGACTTCATGGCAAGTTAAGGATATGGTTACAGAGTATCATATTTTGTAAGCTAAATTATGAATGCTAGATATTGTTGTCAGTACCACACATGTGTCATACTACTTTGTGTGGTGTATGTATGTGTATGTGTGGGCAAAGAAGTGTGTGTATGTGCGCATGTGCATGCATTTGTGCGTGTGTGTGTTCAAATGATACACAATAGGTAGTGATCCATTGCCCACCTGTCACATACCACCAGAAGAAAAGGATCATTAGATCAATTAGAAAACACTAACCTTAGCACAAATGACTACCATATTCTGGACAGACCAGAGTAAGTTATTATAGTGGGCCTCAAAACAGGGCACAACATAGTCACATGCATACAAAATTGATAACTGGTATAACAGATTGATTGTTAAGACCTATATAGTGTTATAGATATAAAGGTCATAACAAATTGTAATACATATACAAGAGCTGGAGTAACTTGTTTTTTCAACCCTTGCCAGTATTGTAAAAATGAAAAGACAGATTAGCTGGTCTCAAGGGTACTTGCAAGGAAAACTGAAGTTAATAAAGGGGGATCTGATACAGTGTGGATACACTTACCTGAGGGCCCAGAGGTCTTTGCTTTGCCTTTTAAAAAAAAAAAAATCTTGCCTGTCATGTTGACCCGCCGGACCTAAATAGGCACCAGGTGTAGTCCTGGGAATGTTCCCTGGTGTAAAAATGGTCTTTATATATATATATATATATATATATATATATATATATATATATATATATATATATATATATATATATATATATATATATATATATATATATATATATATATATATATATATATATGATATACCGTTAGCAAATGATTACTCTTTACATGAAGAAATACAAATCTTTGACAGCAAAAGGCTATGGATGACCTCGTCTTTCTCATTTATTCATAATCAGCCTATGTTTGCATATTTCTTGTCTGTGTTGTATCAATAATATATTGAATATTTCTGCTGTTCCAGGAGTTCACCCAGCTGTACAAAATTTTGCTACCCAGAAAACAGCAGCACACAAAAGAAGATATACAAAACTTTCTCACGGCAATGGGTTTGAAAGAAGAAAACTACCAGATTGGCATGACAAAAGTAAGCTTGCTCCTAGTTCAGGAGTTATTACAAAAATTAGCATGTGAATGAATGATCAATCAATGAATCAACAAATCAGTCAGTCAGTCAAGAATTACTGTCACTGTATGCAAGACATTCCTACATGTGACCTAAATCCTCCTCCTTCAGTAGGTAATGATGAGTTTGTGTTATTGTGGCACCAGTGGCAACCTTATAGGTTACTATAATATAACATCAGAGATTGTTGGACTTTGTTATACGTTGGGTTACTTTTAGTCAACCTCATTAACTATTATTTATACTGAAATATTTTGAGTTGAGTCAAGAACCAACATCAAAGCATTTGGGACATTCTTACATGCACTTTGTCCTCATCTTCAGCAGCCAGTGAAGAGTTCTACTTCTGATGGTACCATTAGCACTTTGATTATATGTCCATCTTGCCTTTCCCGTTAGTGCAGAATGTCAAACAGATCCACTAGGCACTCCCTACTTCACCATTCTCTCCAGTCGTAATGATTTGTTCACAATTTTGCATTGTTTACTTCCTTCAAGAGCTGTAACAAAGTTGGGCTCTCATGCTGGAGACCCGAGTTCAACCCCCGGTAAGGTGATAGAGTTTTTCTGTCAGTAGCAGAATTAAACAATCGAACCTGCACAGTCCGTGGCGACAACACTAGCCATGCTGCCCTAAATCCTCAGGATCAAGATCCCCCCCCCCCCCCTCTGTCTACACCACCCTAAATAGTGGTAAAACAGACAGTAGTGACAGTACTTCCTTCAAAAGGCCTTGAGATTTGTATGATTCTAAAGAGTGATGATAATGCTAATACTATCAACTTTCTATTGCTGTATTTTTTAAAGTGTTCTGCAAGTTTTCTTTCCTATGCATTTTATGTGTCACCGATTATAGTTGATTGCTGTCTGTGTTGATATCCTTCTTACTCCCAATAACAATAAGACAATAACAATAATATTCCATGGGATGGTATTTTATTCCTTTAAATGAAATCAGTATTTCTTTACTTTCAGGTTATACATCTTTCATGGAATTATGTTGCACTTTACTAAGATATTTATTTATTTCAGTCCCTGGCTTTCAGGGCAGCTGAAAAGGAAAATGGTGAAAACAGCAAATTCAGTCAAGTTGATCGGTAAACATATGGGGAAGTTCTCACCATACAATATTAAATGAATAGATTGGCTAAATACTGTAAAGAATTGATAATAGACCAGCCCCAATAAATAGTCCAGATATCCAGCCTAAATAAATAGAGCTGAAAATCAACATTCAATCAAGAAAGGAAATTTGAAGCACTATCAACATCAGCAGTGATGAAAAAAGCTGCTGGTTCTAACAGTATCTCAGTGGAAGCTATTAATGCCAAAATAAACATTGTCTATAGCAGTGTTTCCCAAACATTTCTTGGCCGCGGTGCCTATTTTCAGTCACAATTTTTCTGCGGCGCCCTAACCTTAATAAAAGTATGACTATTTGTGTCTTGACTAAATTAATTAGGAAGCTTTGAAATAGCGGCGCATGGTTTGGGAATCACTGGTCTATAGAATTGCTGCATAGTTTATTTTGCAAAGTCTAGAAGATTGAATGCAAGCAGACCATAGAGAAGGATATCTGATGAAACTGCTTTTAAAAAAGGAAACCTCTTGGAGTGCAAAAATGTCTACAGGAATTATGGTATCATCAATTCCTGGAAAATTTTAGCAAGATCAACCTGGATAGATTAAGATATGCTATTGGAAAATTGCTAAGAGACAAACTGGCAGGTCTTGGACTAAACAGATCCTGCACTGACCATATAGCTAAATTACACATAATAATAGAAAAAAGCAGTGAGCTGAACAAACTCACCACTTTGTATTTAATTTTGATGATGAAATTGCCTTTGGCAGCATTATAAGAGTCACCTTGGGATCCCACATAAAATTATTGACTTAAACAGTACAGGCAACATATAAAGATAAGAGATGCCAAGTACTTTGCGAGGTGAAGCATTTGAAACAAAAACATGTGCAACAGGGACACCTTCTGCCTTCTCTGTCATTATTTTAAAAAATAATAAATATTTGACACTTGTAATACCATTGGCACATAATTCATATACTGCTAGGTATATATATTTTTATAAACCACTTAGCAGTCAATGGGAATATGAGCAAAATCACACTGGCCGCTTTTGCTGTCAGGCCAGTCTAGGCTTGGTTGACCTGGAGCCAAAGTCAATTTAGGAGAAAACAATTTTTTTTTTTTAGATAAAATACTACCTCAGTGTGGATTTGACCCATAGACCTTCATGCTGACAGGCAAGCATGTAGCCACAACGCTACAGTGGCTCCCTCTATTATTCTTACTGACTATATGGATTATTAACACATCAGCATCTACCACTAGAAAAGCAGTTTTTTGGGATGCAGACAGAGCAACTGGAGGATCTGGACTTTGCTGATGACATGTCTCTCCTGGTCTACTCTTTACTAGCTCAAATGACTAGGACAGTGCTCAGCTGGTCACTTCTCCTGAGTTTGCTGAATTATGAGTTTCAGATTAAGAACCAACATTAGAGCACTCAGGACATTGCCATACATGCTCCATTTCCTCATCTTCAGCAGCAAGCACAGAATTCCTGTTCCGATGGTATCCAGTAACAGTCTGATTGTTTGTCCTTCTTGCCTGTTCCCTGAGTGCTGAGGGTCTGCCAGATTCCCCGGTCATTTCCCTGGTCATTTCCCTGGTCAGTTGCCTGGTCACTCCTTGCTGCACTATTCTCTTCAGATAATGATGATCTTTTTATACCTCCACATTGTTTACTAACTTCTTAAGGGCCCTTAACAACATCTAGCTTGCCATGCATCATTTTACCACCAGATGGTGCAGAACCAGCGACTCTATCCGTCTGTTCATTTCCCAACACACAGGCTTGATCTAGAGAAAATATCCAAATGAGGCTAACAATCCAGGAGCTCTGGAGCCATGCTTGCCACTCTGCACAGAGCATACCTGTCTCCAACTTGCTCTCTGAGTAAGTTACAAACAAATATGCTGAAGCACTACTCTGCTAGTAAAGAATTTCTGTTAACATTAACATACTAGCACACAGAAGTTTGTAGCATAGAATGTAATCATTGACATGTTTCCCTGGCAGATATTCCTGCGAGAGTCTGAGAAAATGCAGCTGGATGAAGCTTTACATTCTGCTATTATGAAGAGGGTGGTGACAATACAGACCTGGGTCAAGGCTTGCTTGGAGAGAAAAGCTTTTCTACGTTCCAAGGAATCGGTTATATTTATTCAGGTAAAGGATATTGGTTCACGCATCTGTTACGCTTTGTAGGATGTCTACGCTTCCTTTGTTTCCTAGTTGAGTTGAGTTGAGTCAAGAATTGACATCACAGCACTCAGGACATTCCCATGCATGCTCCGTCCTCATCTTCAGAATCCAGCACAGAGTTCCAAAACTTATGGTACTGGTCACAGTCTGGTTATATGACCGTCTTGCCTTTCCTCTGAGTTGAATGAGCCGGCCAGACCCTCCAGTTACACCCCGATGTCTCATACTCTCTAGGCCAAAATCATTTTCTATCTCTACTAATTCCTTTGCTTGTTCCCAGGCCAGACCCTATGGTTACACCCAGATGCCTCATCTGATATCTCTCTCTCTCTCTCTTCTCTCTCTCTCTCTCTCTCTCTCTCTCTCTCTCTCTCTCTCTCTCTCTCTCTCTCTCTCTCTCTATCTCTCTTTCTCTGTCTGTCTGTCTGTCTGTCTGTCTGTCTGTCTGTCTGTCTGTCTGTCTGTCTGTCTGTCTGTCTGTCTGTCTGTCTGTCTGTCTGTCTGTCTGTCTGTCTGTCTGTCTGTCTGTCTGTCTGTCTGTCTGTCTGTCTGTCTGTCTGTCTGTCTGTCTGTCTGTCATAATAATCTTTTATCTCTACTGATTCCATTGCTTATTCTCAAAGGGCCTTGACCACATCTGCCTTGTCTTTGTTTTCTAATATCCATATTATGTATTTTGCTGTATGAGCATAACATGCTGTATAAATAAAATACAATTGCTGTGTTATAGATGAGAGTTTGAAAACAACAATTTGTATGTTAGGCCTAAATGCCTAGTTTGCGACTCAGAAAATGATGTCTGTTCATTTGTTAAGCATCAGTTCATCATCATTTAATTCTTTATGGGATGTCTGTATGACTTTCTTCCTTTGATCCCACATTATTTGTGCTGTGAGAGATGTCTACATCTGTCGTTGTTTCTGCATCAGTTGAGCTCTCCTGGTTGTCTGTACATGCTGTGCTTTTGGGGTAGTTCAGATTTGTGGGATAAAAGTATATCTTTGTTTCTGCATCAGTTCTGCTTCACATCGAACCAATCAGATGTTTCACCAGCTGCTCTGATGGCTGCTTGTTGTTCATGATAAAGATTTTCAATTAAAAGCACTAAATGCGCTGGAAACCCTATACTTTTCATAATAGTCCACAGTTTGTGGTGATGGACACAATCAAATGCCTTGCTGTAATCAATAAAACAAGCATGAAGATCTACGTTGTATTCTCCAACATATACATACAGAAAAAAAATATATTTCAGCCTGAGCTTTTCTCAACATAAACCGCAAACACATCAACATTGGGCAAAGTAATCTAACCACCAGTTTTGAAATTAGCTTCTCCCATGTGGGTTCTAGTGCCCCATTGTGGGGGAAAACAAGAATTGACCCACTGCCTAAAAAAAAAAAAACATGTTGTAAGAGTTGACTAATTGGGAGCTTCCTTCTAAGTCAGAGTGCATCCGCCCAAGCGGCAAGTAACAACCAGCTGCACATAAATAAGGCAGTAAAATGGATGTACATGCAAAACTCAGGCCCTGGCACAAAGCCAAATGGATGAAGAACCAGGACTTTCCGCTAGAGCTTACAGCCAGGGAACAGAGGAGAAGAAGAAGATATTAACTTGACTGCAGTCACCCTTGTTTTCACTCAACAGAGAGTAGACTGTGCCAGATGAGGTGAAACGGTACGGTGAAATGTATCTTGCCATTGTTGTAAATATATGATCATATTTTAATAATTACTTCAACTTCGGGTTTTGTAGAAACACATCCGACGATTCTTGGCCCAGCAGGACTTTCAGAAGTACCAACTCTATCAGCTTCACTGTGCCAGTGCACTGAGGATCCAGACTTTTTACCGGTGCTACATCGAGCGGCAGAAGTTTCTGGCTCAGCGTACCGCCCTCGTCTATATACAGTCATGTATACGAGCAGCAGTAGCCAGGGGAAGGTAACATTTTGTTCTCTCTCTCTCTTCTTTCTATCTCTCTCTCTCTTCTCTCTATCTTTCTCTCTCTCTCTCTCACAAGCACGCACACACGCAGGCATGCACCTACGTGCCAATAACTTTGACATCTAATTCCGGCTGTCGTGACATGCTCTTTTCAGATGTCACAACCTGTATTTACCAGTCTTATGCACAGTCTTTCACCAGAAAGTACAACTGGGTGTTTCCTTTCATCAGAGACCATATTGGTATTTTCTTATGCTCTCCACAGCTTTAGATAAGAAGTAGATAACATTTATTTATAGCAACACATGTTTTGTTCTCAAGTAACTGAAAGACCCTTTTCATACACCAGCACCTGAATTGGATGTTGAATCAGATTCAGTCTGGCATATGATACTAGACTCATATTATTATAGACCAGTTGGTATTCAGGTCATGTGGTCACTATCATGCCAGGTACCTTTACTCTCCAGGACATTGCCTGGTACCTACCCATTTTAGGCTGGGTCAACTTGGAAGCCAAAGTCATTTTTTTAAAATGTGCCATGAGGCAAAGTTGAACCCCAGACTTTCAGGTTGACAGGCATATATCTTTTCACTATCTTTCACAGATCCAATGTTGTTTTTATTGTTAATTAAATATTCATGTAGGAAACTTGTTTAATAAATGGCCCTTTTTACACTGTTAATAAGTCTTTTTTTTTTTTTTTTTTTACCAATCTCTTATTTTTACAGATCAGTTTTATCAAATAGATAACTTTGTTGAGTTTTCAGAGTTAATTTTGTTTTGTCTTGTAGATTTATTGAGCAGCGGGGTGTAAATGCTCAGCTTGCAAAAGAAGCAGCAGAAAAGAAGATACAGGAGAGGCTGGAGAAGGAAAGACAGCTGTTGGAAAAAGAACAAGAGAGTGAGAGGTTGAAAGTAGTAGAAGCAGAGAGGATGAAACAAGAAGAGATTCAAAGAAAGGAGGAATTAATTAGGTATGGTCACAGTGTTTTATATATTATATTATATTGTATTGTATTGTATTATATTATACTTACTTACTTACTTAGTCGCTCCTCTTCTACCTGAGGGTGTAGAGGTTTGCCAGAGAGATCACCAGACGTCTCTATCAGCAGTTTTCTTTCTGGCTTTGTTCCATTCCAGTCCTCTGTCAGTTAGGGACTGTCGGATGTTGTCTTCCCAGCGCACCCTGGGTCGTCCTGGAGGTCTGGTTCCCTGGTTCTTAGCCTCCCATGCCTGCCATGGTGGCTGATTTTCTCCCATTCTGATATTATATTATATTATATTATATTATATTATATTATATTATATTATATTATATTATATTATATTATATTATATTATATTATATTATATTATATTATATTATATTATATTATATTATATTATATTATATTATATTATATTCGAATGGCTAATGGCATCCGTCAGTCCCGGGGGACTATGGAGATGTGCCGCTGGCTTTGGGAACAGCATCTGCTGTGACTGTAAAGTCCAATGCGGGAATGGCAGTCTTTGCCACACAGGATACACACAAAAGCAGATACTCCCTCGTTGTGAGGCAGTTTTACTCTCCGGAGCCTCCTCTCCACAACTCGTTGTGTTCCGTTTCTTTCAAAATGTGACAGTCCATCTTTCACTTTCTGTCTCCATAGTAGTCAATCTGCAGCTGATTTTTCCCATGTCTCTGTGCCTATGTTGGTATCTATGAGGTCACGTTTGCATACATATTTATAGCGCAGCTTTGGCCTTCCTGTAGGTCTATTCCCAGTTACCAATTCACCATATAGGAGATCTTTTGGAATACGACCATCCTCCATGCGGGAGACATGACCCAGCCAGCGCAGATGTCTTTGCTTCAGTATACAATACATTGATGGTATTTTTGCTCTTGTGAGCACACATTCGTTGGAGACAAGGTCTCGCCATAATATACCAAGGATGCATCTCAGACAGCACATATGGAAGGTATTCAGTCTTTTTTCCTGTGGAGCATAGAGAGTCCAGGATTCGCAGCCGTACAGTAATGTGCTCAGGACACAAGACTCAAACCTTCATTTTTGTATTATCAGTTAGCTTTTTGTTTGACCAGACTCTCTTTGTGAGATTTGCAAACATAGCAGAGGCCTTTCCTATACGTTTGTTTAGTTCTGCATCCAGAGAATGATTGCTTGAGATACGTGAGCCTAGGTACTCAAACTCATTTACAGCCAGCAGCTGATGGTCATACACACTAATGTTTGGTGGATTTCCAACATTCAATCCCATCACTTGTATTTTGTTCAGACTGATGGTAAGCCCAAATTCTTTGCAAGCATTTGCAAAGCGATTCATCAGGATCTGCAGATCATCCTCTGAATGTGCCACAATGGCTGCATCATCCGCAAACAGAAAATCCCTGAGGCATCTTGTGTGCACCTTCGTCCTTGCACGTAGCCTGGACAGATTAAAAAGATTGCCATCTGACCTCGAATTGAGGTATATCCCCTCAGTTGCTGTCCCAAATGCACGCCTCAATAATGCGGTAAAAAAGATGCCAAACAGCGTGGGAGCCAGAACACATCCTTGCTTTACTCCATTTCGAATCTGGAAAGGTAGAGATGATGAATCCTCATATATTGTGGTCCCCCTCATATTCTCATGAAAGGATTTGATTAGGCTCAGTATTATAGGTGGGCATCCATATTTTTCAAGGATCCCGAATAGACCATCTCTGCTGACATAGTCAAAGGCCTTAGTGAGATCTATGAAAGCAATGAGCAGTGGCCTCTGTTGCTCTCTGCACTTTTCTTGTAGCTGCCTGATGGAGAAGATCATATCAACTGTTGATCTCTTGGCCCTAAACCCACACTGTGATTCCGGGTATACTCTGTCCGCTAGAATTTGCAACCTCTTTAGGATAACCGGTGACTGCTGTTTCCCGTGTTGTGTCGAAACTGTTAAGCATCGCTGGAGTGACCTCTCCAGGGCACAGGCCAGGGCGTTTTGATTTGGAGTACAGACTGTTGCCCAGGCAGCAAGTACCCCCTCTCTATGTCGCCGGTGATACCAAGGGAAAGGCAAAAAACCAGTACAACTTGGCACCGAGAACGTTGCAGGAATTGCCGGAATAGCACTGTATACAATGCTAAACCGCCTTAGGGATTCCAGCTCCGGATTTTTCCTCAGGGTTTACTCCCGAAGCGCTTTCCCAAACATGGGTATGGCCACAAGGCAGTGGAGGTGTGTAGTCAGAGTTTTCCTTCTCCTAGATGAGCTGCACTCCCGTACTGACGAGCCTTATCTACCCGAAGCGTCTGGTTAAAGCGCCAGAGACCCGCTTTCGCCCCTTCTCCTGTTAGTTTAAACATCTCCGCCACGAGAAGGCCAGGAGTTGGACTTTTGCTGTCAGAGGCTTTGAGAGACGCATGCCTTGAGGGTATTTCATGGAGACTGAGATACGGTAGACTGCGGTATATTATATTATATTATATTATATTATATTATATTATATTATATTATATTATATTATATTATATTATATTATATTATATTATATTATATTATATTATTTTATATTATATTATATTATATTATATTATATTATATTATATTATATTATATTATATTATATTATATTATATTATATTATGTTTCCCCGAGTGGGTTATGGGACCCCATTATGGTGAAAACAAGAATAGACCCACTGCCTCCACAACAAGCATGTCATAGGAGTCGACTAACTGGGGACTTCCTTTGAAGTTGAAGTTCCTCTGATAAACCAATAAATCCTGGGGGAATGCAGTGATCTTTGCATGTAATGTTTATGACGATTGCATTTGGGGAGGGAAACTTGTGCTACTGCAGTTAATCTTAAGGATGCGTACAACAAGGTACCATTTGACTTCTTGATTGGTCAGCTTCTTAATCTAAGTCTTAACCCATTTCTCATTAATTGAATCTCATTGGCTCTCTTTGAGCTGAAGGTGGAGTTTAAATGCGGTAGTTGGGCATCTGAACCAATAACCATACACCCCGGTCTGCCGCAAGGTTCACCTTTATCCCCGATACTTTTCAACATTGTCACCACGAGAATCACAGGCAGGCAGATCATGGAACTGGGAAGGACACTATCTATATGCTGATGAAGTTTTGGTGTACTGTCAAGGTAGAGACCGGGAGCAGGTTGCCAAGGGCCTTCAGACACAACTTGATCACCTAAGCAGGTGGTGCGATGAAGCCGGAGTGGTCGTCAGTGTGTCAAAGTCAACTGTCACATGGTTTTTGCTGAATAACCATATTATAAACACACCGATACCTACTGTGAGTCCGTGTTCGGAGATCATGGAGAGAACTCGTTCAGTGAAATATTTAGAAGTGTGTTTTGACCGTAGTCTTGCTTTTTTTATGAGCATATGAACCATATGACAGGAGGGATTCGAAGAAAATATTTGGAGTCGCTGATGAAATCTCGTCTGAAAGGAATTAGTTTCATTTCTGTACCCTGTATCTCTGGGGTAAGGGGAAATAAATGAGCGGATTGGCTTGTTGGTAGGGCCACAGTTAGTGCAGGAAAATCAGTGGGCGGAGCTGACATTCTCAATGCTGTCAAGAAAGCGGGATGAGAAAAGGATTCAGGAGATGACCTTGAATCGGCAACACTCAAAAGACTACAAGAACTTCAGGTCTAAAGAGGTGTCGCCAAACATGAACACTTTACATGTAACCAAAGAAGAATAGTAAACCAACACAGAACTTGTGTTATCAGTCACCACACGCTGGGGGATATACTGAAGATGAGATCCAAGTGCTTATGGACCTGTCCTATGTGCAATGAGGATAATCTTTCGAGTAGCTGTTAACTGTTAAGCCAGTAAAATAGATGTGCATACAAAACTCTGGCCCTGGCACAAAGCCAAAGTCCAAATAAACGAATAACCAGGACTTTGTAACAACTCTGTCCATTCTTCAGCCGATATGCAGTAGTGCATTACTTGCCAGTTGGTCTGCTTATTTGTCATAAAAACATACATCTAACATTTGCCACTTCACAAAGATGAGCATCTTTTCTGTCCACTATGATTGGATGTCTACGATTGGATGTGTTACCATAGTCACTAGTGGAAATAGATAATGGAAACACCATTAGCATCCATGAGTCTAGTCAAAGATGACTCAGGATGGCTAGATTGAGACTGGCTACCTGATCCTGTTGAAAACTAGCGTAAGAATCCAGCTAATTATAAACAAATCTCAGAAGAGCTTGGTAGAATGCTTTACTCCATTGGGTTGGAAGTCAACAAGCTGTTATTGGGTTGGAAGTCAACAAGCTGTTTGCCACCTGCTGTGAGGATCATGGGTTCATTGCATGGACACGTCATTCAGTTCACAAATGCTCCCCCCTTTTTAAAAAATTAAAAATAAGTTGTCTATCTTGTCTTGTTTGTTATCTTTTTTTATAGCAAACATGTTAATTAGTCTGGTCTTTTCTGTCTAACGTGTTGGTCTATTCTTTTCTAGATAGCATGTTAATCTATTCTTTTCTAATTAGGGAGCAACTAGAAGAAGAACAGATGCTGGCTGAGAGAATAGAGCTGGACAGACAAGACAAAAAGGATGAGCTGCACTCTGCAGCAAGTGATGAGGGGGTATTGTTGAAAGCCTCAAGTACTGAGGAACTTGAGGAGAGGGATTTCCACTCACTGTCAAGGAGGGATTCAGAAGAGTATGCATCTTTTTCAGGTTTTAGTGTGTCTGCTCTTTAAAAAGTTGATCTGAATAGCATGATAATTATGTATGGCTGCAAGTATTGTTCCGTTTAAAAATGAAAACAATTTAGGTGGCTTTAATTGCCAAAACTTTATATGAAAAAAAAAAAAAAATACACACATGTGGAAAGACAAGAAGAACAAGATAAGAGAACAGTAAACTACTTCTCCTTCTTCTTTACGTTTACAGGCTGTAAACTCCGGTGAAAAGTTCTGGCTGTTTGTCAACCCTGTACTTAAGTCTTGTTGCGTTACACGCACATCTGTTTTACAGATCTGGCCTATTGATGTGCAGACTATCAGTTCCTTGCCTCTCAGGCAGATGCACTCTGACTTCAGAGGATGCCCCCAATTAGTTGAATCCTATGACATGCTTGTTGGGAAGGCAGTGAGTCTGTTCTTGTATCCCCCACAGTGGGGCCCTGGAACCTACCAAACAGAAGCCAATGTTAGGATTCTTCATATAGATGTGATTCCTCCACAATGAGGCTCTGGAACCCACATGGAGTTTCTGTTAATAAATTTTTTATTTGTAGGGATGTGGTGATAAATCAGTCTTTTCCATCACCAAGTAGCACATTATTGGTAAAATATCGCTATAGTTACTTAATGTTCTCAACTGCATTTACATCACAGCCTATCACGAGGAACTACAGTTGGGTGTTTTCCTTTATTGCTGATCGTGATGGTATTTCTCATGCTTTCCTCAGCCTAAGAGGAGAAATATCTACCTTCTGAACCCTTGAGGTTCGTTACCTGCCTCGATTCATCTCTTTGGTTGGCCGTCTTTTTTAAATTCCAGTTAAAGATTCCAAGTGTTTGCATGTCTGTCATGTCATTAAATGTCCAGACTCTTTTTGGTCTTGAATAACCATCTTCACATGCTCTGAGAACATTCTACTATTCATTTTATGAGGTTGAACTAACTAGCTGTAACACATTTTTTTGCCACCCATCAATGGGGATCTAACCCCAGAACCATTGCATTGGTTGCCAAATCCACTAACTACTACACCAACATGCCTCATTTAACAAAATGTTATATGTTTATTATTTTGCCTTTGCCAGGAGCAGTGGCATCATGGATGGTTCTGATACTGAAGTTGGACTTATTGAGACACACACTAAACCTGTGATTGACACACCTCCTCCCACACCTGACAGCAAGATTTCTTATCTGTCCGAAATCCTTAATGAAAAATCAGAGATTCATTTATCAAGGTGAGTTGTTAGGTTAGCTCAGAGTCACAGCAATGAGTGTGTTCCGGGGCCCTATTATAGGGAAAACACTGCCTACCCAAAAGCATGTAGTTCTTCTTCTTCTTCGCGTTCACCAGCTGTACACTCTGGCGGAAAGTTCTGGTTGTTCGTCCATACCTGGACTGCAGTCCTGCTCCAGAACCTGGGTGTTGCGTGTGCATCAGTTTTACAGATCTGATTCACTTGAATGCAGACTGTTGGTTCCTTGCCTCTCAGGCAGATGCACTCCGACTTCAAAGGAAGCTACCAATTAGTCGACTCTTACGACAAAAAAAAAAAGCATGTAGTAAGAGTCGACTCATTGGGAGCTTTCTTTAAAGTCAGAGTGCATCTGCCTGAAAGGCAAGGAACCAGCAGTCTGCATACAGATGAGTCAGATCTATAAAATGGATGCACACGCAACAATCAGGTTCTGGAACAGGACTGCAGTCCAGAAGTTAATGAACAACCAGAACTTTCCGCCAGAGTTTACAGCTGGTGAACGCAAAGAAGAAGAAGATGAAAAATTTTGATTTTGTTTTTCTCTAGGGCATTCATTCATTATGATGCCAGTAGTTAAAGGTGATTTGTGAATCATGTTGTTGCTTCTTCTTGCTCTCCGTTTTCCACTGATTGCATCTTTGATGAGGCCAGAGATTTGTCATAAAATGTTTCTCAAATGTTTATAATAAGGCTTCATCCTTTTTAGTTGTGCTTCAGGTTTTAGAGCCCTATAGGAGTACTGACTAGTCTTATCAGTGTTTTATTTAATGTGATCTTGGAGCTAAGAAATAAAGCATTTTAGTTTGTAGCAGATCTTTTAGGACATACACTGTATTTCTTTTATTTACTTATGTTACATACATGACAGAAAGCATTAAATCCTTTTTATATAAAGTGTTTCCATTGCTAGACTAGTCTATAGAGGCATAAAACAATCAATTCATGTTGATATATGCAGTGCTTTAACATGTAATACAAACAAAATTATCGTCTGTTGTATTTTAGAGTTCAAGAAATCGCTAAAGCATTCCAGAAAGCACATGAAGAGGTAGGAAACTTTTCTAATATATTTTTTTTTCACATTCACATATTTTATTTTCCTTTATTGTATTTTATATATTTTATGGCAAAGCATGATTCTCTAGCTTTTTTTTTAATTATAATTTTTTTTTAAATTTAATGTTTAATTGACTAACAGAAACATATGTCTCTAACTAGGAATTTTTATTTCTGTAGCAGCTGTTTGATTGATACGTCAGTCTTGTATACTTTTGGTTCTTTATTAGTCTTTTCATTTATTTAGATGGTTGATTAATTAATCAAATTTTTTTGCATGCTTTAATATTTCTCATGAGATAAATGTGAAATATTTGTTACTGTTTTGTACAGTGATTTTTACTTCTCTCTCTGTGTTTGAAAGGCAGTATGTTATAAACATAAATGTTTACTTGTCTCTGTTTACCCTGTGTTAGTATGATTTGATAAGCATAAATGTTTACTTGCCTCTATTTACATTGTAGCAGTATGTGATAAACATTGACCTTTCCTTGTCCCTGTTTACATTACAGTGGTGTGTGATAAAAATTAATCTATAATTGCTTCTATATATTATACGTTATGTGATAAACATTAATCTTAAAATGCTTCAATTTATTACATTATAACAATAAATGATAAACATCTCTCCGCTATTTTCTCACATTGTAATATAATGTTTGAATAAAACCATTTCATACAGAATATGAATTCATGTTGTAATGAAGAATAAAACAGTTTAAGATGGGAGGATCGTCTTCATTGCACAAGATTTTATCCCATAGGGCTTGGCTTGGCTTGTTGATGATGACTTTGTTAGTAACATTTTGCCCGGTTGAAGTTAACATTAGATGCAGTAAAGCAAACCAAATACTGGGACAGCTAGCCCCCCTCTTACAGCATAAGACAATCCCAATCAGCACAGAGACATCTTATTCAAAGCATATTTATTCCAACTCTGTGCTGCCAGTGCTAGACATGGTCACTCACAACAAACCATAAAAGAAAATTAGTAACCATGGAAATGAGATGTCTGAGAAGGGCTGTAGGAGTGACCATAAGAGATAAGATCAGGAATGAGATCATAAGAGAAAAAGTCGGCACAGAACCAATTCTAAATTACATACAAAGACAGCAAGTGAAATGGTTTGCCCACTTAGAGAGAATGCCTTGTGACACCATACCATACAAAGCATACATGGAAAGAGAAGAAGGACGTAGAGCACGAGGTAGACCAAGAACAAGATGGAAGGATAACATCAGAGAAACTCTACAACAGCACGATGTGCCTATGGTCGAGGCGGCCAGAAGAGCTAGAAACAGAACCGTATATCTCCCTCGACACCCACAGCGGTAAAAGAGGAAGTCAAGAAGAAGAAGAAGTCAGCTTTGACTACTACTATTAGATTCATGTGCCAGTAGAATCTGCCTTTGAGACGGGTTTTCTTGTTCTGGAGTTTAAACCTTTTGATCATTTTATTGATTTGTTTGCATTCATGAAATATTGTAAGTCATTTTCTCCTCTTAATTTCTGTATCCCTAGTGCAATTAGCCCATCATCTTCTTTTTCCTCGTCTGATTAAATGTATGTTATTTCTTCAGCTTCCTGTTCTTTATGAAGCTCGAATAGCTCTTGTGTTGTGAGATCTGTTATGTGATCCTCCTCGTTGGCCATGTCAGAGGAGCGACCAATTTTGACTTTTTAGGTGAATATCAACCCAAAAAAATTCAGCCTTAAGACAGGATTAATTTTAGAAAAGAGGAATGTTGGCATAGTTGCATATTAGAGTTCTACTATACAGCCTTTTTCAGTGACAAGTTTTTTTCCTGTTCAAAGCACACAAAGCCTGGGCAATATTGTAGAGACCATGTGTTGCTCATGCAGCATGATCCCTTGCTCGGCTGCCTAGCTCACTCCACTCCAACATAAAGGTGGTAAACTTACTAATGATTATATTGCTTCTTTAGAGAAATGGTTTGCATTGATAAAATTAACACTTAAGAAATCCCAATAAAATCATATCTTTGGTGGACTTGATCCCACTGCCGCAGGTGGAAAGGAAAGTCATCATTATCCACAGAGGCTCACTTCGATGGAAGCAAAAGAAAAGTGCCGCCCCCTTGGCTAAACAGGAGTCCTTTTCTGACTGGGTGAGGCAGCTTGTGCATTATCATTGGGCTTTCCCCACAGTGGCCATTATTGATGTGCTGTGGAATGCAGATTTTGGCAGTTTGATATTTGAATGCCCATTTTCCCAATTCCTGCATATCTCTCTTAAGCATCACTCTTTTCATTGGATACTTCAAAGAATGTTAAATTGTTTGAATCCCCAATAGACCATTTTCCAGTGTGCTCTTGGTGTGTGAAAAAACTACTCAGTTACCATAGACATTGCTTTAAAACTTGTGTTGTGGGAGTTTACTCAGCTAGCTTAAACAGTTGCCTCTCCTTATTTGACATGTACTCAATTACTGTGAACAAATGTGTAAACTTTCTTTGTGGAAATTTACTCTCTTACAATTAAAAATAACAATAAAGTGAGCTTTCTTTTTCAAAATTCACTCACCTATAAAGGTTTTTTTTAAATTAGTAAGCTTTCTTATTGGAATTTTACTGTTAAAGTTTTTTTTTTTTAAAGATAAGAGAGCTTTCTAAGTAGAAATTTTCTCGTCTGTAAAAAAAAATGAGTTAGCTTTCTTATTGGAATTTAGCTATTATAATTTTTTTTTTTTAATTCTAACAATTCAAAGTGCTTTCTTAGTTAAAATTTACTCAGCTACTGTAAAAACAAATGAGTGAGCTTTCTTATTGGAATTTTACTCTTTACTCTTTTACTGTAAAAAATGAGTGTGCTTTCTTATTGGAAGTTGACTCAGTTCCTGTAAAAACAATAAGTGAGCATTTTTAGTGGAAATATTGTTTAGTTACTGTAACAAGAAAGAAGGAGCTTTCTTAGTGGACATTTTTTTCCCCACTTAGTATATACTGTTCTGTGTACTTGCTTAGGTAAAATTGACTTATTTACTTCATAAAAATATGAGCCCAATTTCTGGAAATATTCATTTACTGTTTAAAAAAAAAAATTAGCTTCATTTTTTAAAACAAACCTGTTTCTTCAAAATTGTTATAATTTTCATATTTCAGTATTAAACTATTAAAATTACATTATTACTATAGCCATTTTTGAAAACTGTTTTGTTTGAAAAATTACTGCTGCTGTAAACATTTATGATTGTTTCTATCACTCATTTACTGTAGATTCTTGTGTAATGCCCGTTTTTGTATCCTTTGTCCTAATTTTAAAACCTATCCTTGATGTTCCATGATATGCTGTGATGTAGGCAAAGAGCTTACTAACCAACTGTATATTCTAATGTTGCTGTATTTGTATGCTTAATCTGTGATCTGGGATTATGTTTATTGTTATTGCTTCTCACTAACATCAGTTATAAATGTGCCTATAACTGCATTCTTCTTCTTGTTTGTTTGTTTGTTTGTTTGTCAGCTGCATTGATAGTGAAAGTTGTTCAGTGTGAAGGGCATTTGCCACTTACGCTTGTTGTCACATAGCATTGCAAGTTACACTTTTTTATAATTACAGTGCTAGTTAGACAATTAATTACATAATTAGGTCACTTATAATAATAACCAGATAACAACATATAGAACACAGATAAGACCAGTTGTCCTGAATGGCTTTAAAACCTGGAGTTTAACTTAAAAAGTACAGAGCTTTATTAAAAGTTTTGAGAACAGTCTTAGACAAATCTTTGGACACGTCAAAGATGAAAATGGATATGAGAAGCAGAAATAACATTCAAAATTTGTTTCATTCACCATAGTTTCTGGCATTATGAGGCTGCTAAACTGGGGTAGTTGGGGCATTTAGAGAGAGCAGCAGATAGCACAGAGATATAACTACATATACAAAAGACCTGAATGGGTGTAGACCATGAGGCAGACCAAAAAAATTACAGGAGAGATAATTTACTCACAGACCTACAAACCTTCCAGCCATAAACTGGAAAGAGAATACAGGTCACAAAGATAATGGGGACAAGTGATATTTGCATCAGTGAACCTCAAGAGCCCAGGATACTTGTTGATTTGTGGGGGGAGGGGAGGGGGGGGGGGGTGGTTTACACAGAAGAAAAGTTAGTAAATAAAAGAACTTTTCCCATACCTAGATGCACATTGAGTGTACAGTTCAAGTATTTTTATTTATAACCTCCTATGCCTATCTGCAGTCAACAACTGAAGTAGTTGTCAGATTTTCTGGTGCCCATTTAATGTCGGGTTGATATGGGTCAGTGGAAACAAAATACTTGCTAGGATTAGAAGATGCACTCAATTTATATGTCTACAAACAAAATGACATGACCTACTGTTTACTGTTGTGAGATTTACTGAAGGTCATGAATCAGGGAGGTGACTATAAACTATCTGATTGCTGAAAATTCTGTCATTATAACTTTAAGCCAAATAGAATTGGTTCTCACAATAAATGTGTACATGACCCTAAGGACCTCCGATTCTTTAGAGAACTGTTATTACATAACTACATGGTATTCGTTTAGGGCCTTTGCATAATGGAAGACCATAAGACCCTAATATAATAATATACCCTGCATATTAGGCATGCTTTGATACTGCATTTGAAACCTGTGCATTGCATTCTGCTTTCATAATTTGCGGACATGTTAATTTACTTTAGCCTGACTTTTTTTTTGCACATCGATTTTAAAATGGTTAGCCTGTGGCATTGTTTTGACAGAGGAGATTTTATGTTTATAAGAAATGGTGTGAAGCAAGCTTAAACAATTTTTTTTTAAATTTTTCATAAATAAATACTACTTTTAAAAGTTGCCCAGTCAACACTTATGATTGCCGTAAATGTGTATCTTGTTTTTGGACAAACAAATAAAAAATGTGTCACTCTTTCAGTTCCAAAAAGTTTTTAAAGCGGACGGTGGGAGGGGGGAACTGCTGTGAAAAATCATGAGTGCATTACATTTAAAGAATACATGATGAAAGTAGTCAGATTTCTTTGGTATACTCTGACCATATATATATATAAACAGTGAAAAAGAATTGCATGATATGATGGTTGGCATTCAAGGAGAAGAACCACACACATTACTGGGGACTGAAAGAATTTAAATAAAGCTATATAATTGACTCAGACATAAGACATATTCTTTCACAAGATAAATAAGGAATCCTGTGTTAAAAAATGTTACAAAATTGTTCACACAAATCAACTTTACAATTTTGCCATGATGCAAAGTTGTTGACCTCAAAGGTCAGGTAATATACTTGTTCATACAACAAAGTAAAAGATTCATTTCTGCGCCATTAGACATATTTTTATATGGTGTTATCTCATTGTCTTAGGTCATCCGGCACTGGAAACATGTTGTGGTCAGTATCATACCAGTTGTCTTTACTTCCTCTTACATTTTCTGGTACAAATTTAGTTCGGAACTACCTAGGCACCAAGGCCAATTTTTAAAAATAAAATCTTTGTCTCAGTTGGTAAGGGAGAGCTTCTTTCAGGCAGACTGTGAGAGCGATGTTCTACAAAGGACCTGCTACATGGTACTGAGGATTATTTAATCAGTTTTAAAGAAAGAAAAAACACCAGCAAATCTTGACCTTGTTTTGGTTAACATTTGTTTAAATCCTCTTTATGTCACTGTTGACACATAAGGCATTCACAAGTGATTTCCATTGGTGCCGGTCTGATGCTTTTCTGCCGATGGTATCCCATATCAGTTTACATTACTTCATTTTCCCGTTCTGTTGTCCTTCTCCAGGTTTCTTCCAGGTAGTCCTCATCTCCTTTTCCCATCTGCTGTCCACCGGAGAGCTGTGTTTGCCAGAGTGTCACAACACATTCTGTAAACATTCTGTAAGCAATCTCCATCATCTTACTTTGATAACATTTGCCAGTGATGCACATTTTGTTTTCCTCCTCAGTTCTTCATTTGTGATTTTGTTTGGCCAAAATATTCGTAGAATTCTCCCTAAACATTTATTTTGAAATCTCAAGTTTACTTGGTCAACATAATTAAACAATTAAAAATTAACAAAAATGGTTGATCATGTCTCTCCATAGGAAGCAGCCCAGGGCATGAATGAACATCCAGCTGACACACCCAGGAAACCTACGGAATTGAAGATCTCCAGAACACCTCTCTTGCCTGATGATAAGCGCCGAGAGATAGAAGCAGTCCTCTCCCACAAGAAGGACATGATAAAGAAGAGGGAGGAGGTCGGAGACTATGATGACCAAGCCAGTGTATATCTCAGTCCACTGCACAAGGCCAAGAGACACTGGAAGAACTGGGTTGGAGGTAGATATACTTGTGTTTACTGTAGTCCTTGAGGGCTAGTCTGTAGGTAATCCATTTTTAATGCATTCCAGGAACAGTTTTCGGACAAAAATGTTGAATGTTGAATTAAGAATCGACATCACAGCACTAGGGACACTCCCATAAGTGCTTCGTCCCCCATCTTCAGCAGCAAGCAAAGAGTTCTAATTCCGATGGCACCAGTAACCGTCTGATCAGTTTTTTTTTATAATCTCAAGGCAGATACAACATGAAGTCTTCACAGATCTCATAAAATAATTTGTCAGTAATTAAAATTCTAGAATTGTTTGCATCATAAAATCATTTGCTACAAATTAAAATCCCATGATATAGTGGTTAATTCGCATAATTCTGCTAACATAAAGAACCTAATCCCATTAGCAGCAAAGGTCTATTGCTGTTGATCAGCACAACTTTTAAACTCGTAAACCTGTTACAGAGATTGTTTTCCGTGAATGAAATATAGGGAAGACAGAAAACTGGAATGTTGAAAATAATACATTTGAAGTTGCTTATGCCCCATGGGAGTGTTTCCCAGTTAATCCAGGGGTTGGCAGAACAAATGTAAGTGATCATGAATCATTTGCACACTCACACATACACACACTTACTCACTCACTTTCAGTTTAGAATGCCGTCATCTCTGACTTAAAAATATGGGATGTGACAGATCTTCAGAAATAAATGGAGTTCTCAGGTCTTGGCATCCTTTGGATATTTTTCCCAGGATACAGCGGTGTACTAAGAAATGAACAGACAGATAGACTGGCTGATTTTGCTTAACTTGGTGGAATTTATGCATGACAAGCTAGATGTTTTAGGGTCCTTTGGGGGGGGGGGGGGAGTGAACAGTGCAGAAGCATAGATGGATCGTCATGGTCTGAGGAAAGCAGTGCTGAGAGGAGTGACCAAGGGATCTGGCCAATGCTCAGCTCTCAAGGTAAAGGTGAGACAGATATACAATCAGACTGTTGCTGGAATCGGAACTCGCGCGTGCTGCTGAAGATGGGGACGGAGCGCTTATGAGAATGTCCAGAGTGCTGTGATGTTGATTTTTAATTAAACATTAAACAGACATTAAGTTAATTGGAAACCACTGTCCTGTGTCATAGTATGCAGAAGTAAATAGACAGGGAACCCTGGTACCTTTCTATGGCAGTAGACTTTACAGTATTACCATTGCTTGTGTCACAAATTAACATATATTGCCATGAAATAGCATTCTGGTCTCACTGTTAACTCACTCATTCACAAGTTACATCTAAGTGTTACTTGAAATACAATATGGATATTTAATCACGTATTATTAAAATGCTTTTGTTCTTTACAAGGGTCCCTAACGTCTCATAATCCATTTTTATTTCAGTTAAATCACAGAATGGTAAAATTAGGTTTTTTACATATAACTTTCTTTCACTTATTATTACATTTTGTAGAACATTGTTCATGTATTATATAAATGCCTTTTTAAATTAACTTTCAAATGTTTCATTTATTTCTGCTTCTGTTGCTTCTAAATGTTTCCAGTTTAACCATTACTTACATTTTATTAAGTAGTTGTTTTTTTTTCCTTCTTGTGTGTGTTTCACTGAAAAGTTGCCATGCCGGTTTCAGATGACAGCCAACAGTGGAGCTTGTGGAATCACCTTGATTGTTAGTGACTCACTTTTTTGTGTGGTCTGTTGCTGTCACCATGGATTCTTCTGTTCTCTTTGTTTGGACACATTTAACACTTCTGACAGGCATTTCTTGTTATGTTTAGTAGTTTCTTGGTGATGCCTTCGTGCATATTTGCCTGTTTTAACATTTTGATTTACCTGATTTCTTTCATTTGATACTTTTGTAGATCTTTGTAGGTTACTCTGCAGGTTAAATTTTGTTTTCAACCGAAGACAATGATTTTGAAGTCTTGCTTTTGTTTTCTTCATGTAAACAGCTTAACTTAATGTTCACTCATCTACAGCATCATCATCCTGTTGTGTCATTTATACATCACATTTCTTTCTCTTTTATTCTATTCTGTCTTGTGCATTTGTTTCAGACATCAGTGTTCACTATACTACAGAAATGCATTTTCTTGTTCCCACTTTTGAATACAGACAGATACTACCGCTATGGAGGTATTCAGAGTTTTCCAGAAGGGACTTGTCTTCAGTATTCTCATCATCATTGGAGATTGTATCTTCTTCTCTTATTCCTCTTCCTCCTCCTTTTCTTCTTCTTCTTCTCCTCCTCCTCCTGCCCCCCTCTTCCTTCTTCTTCTTTTTCTTCTTCTTCTTCTTCTTCTTCTTCTTCTTCTTCTTCTTCTTCTTCTTTTTTCCCTTTTTCTTCTCCTCCTCCTCCTTTTTTCTTCTTCTTCTTTTTCTCCACCTCCTCCTCCTCCCCTTTCTTCTTTTTCTTCTCCTTGCCCTTCTCCTCCTCCTTCTTCTTCTTCCTCCTCCTCCTCCTTCTCCTCTTCTTCCTGTTTTTCTTCTTCCTGTTTTTCTTCTTCTTCTTCTTCTTCTTCTTCTTCTTCTTCTTCTTCTTCTTCTTCTTCTTCTTCTTCTTCTTCTTCTTCTTCTTCTTCTTCTTCTTCTTCTTCTTCTTCTTCTTCTTCTTCTTCTTCTTCTTCTTCGAGTTCACTGGTTATAAACTCTGGTGGAAAGTTCTAGTTGTTTACCCTCTTCTGGACTTTACTCTTGTTCCAGAACTTGAGTTTTTAATGCACATTTATTTTACAGATCTGTGTTTGCAGACTGTTGGTCCCTCAACTCTCAGGCAGATGCACTTCAGTACAAAGGAAACACTGCTAATTATCCTCCTCCCTGGGTGGGTTACAGGGCCCTGTTATAGGGAAAACAAGAATAGACCCATTGCCTACCCAAAAGCCTGTCGTGAGAGTCGACTAATTGGGAGCTTCCTTCAGAGTTGGAGTGCATCTGACTGAGAGGCAAGGAACCAGCAGTCTGCATACAAATGAGTCAAATCTGTAAATTGGATGCACACACTTTACTAAGGTTCTGGAACAGGACTGCAGTCCAGAAGTGGATGAACAACCAGAACTTTTGGCCAGACTTTACAGCTGATGAACGCGAAGAAGAAGAAGAAGACTGCTATTTAGTCACCTTTTACAACGTGCTTGTTGGGTGGGGATTGGGGTCAGTGTGTCTGTTCTTTTTTCCCCCTCATTGGGACCTTGGAACCCACACGGGGATGAGTATGCTGTCAGGTTATCTCTTCTTCTTTTTTTCTACAGTTTCTTCTGTAAGTAGAAATTATTCTTACATATTCTTCTCAGCATCATCAGCATCTGAGTTTGCTACCACATTGTCTCACCATAGTTCCAATACGGTGTTTGTTTGTTTGTTCACACTTGCTTTTGTTAGTAGTACCTTGGTCATTTATTTAATCTGAGAGCATAATTTTAGTTAATGTTTCTAATAAATGATCACTGGCTTTGTTTAGCAGTGATTTTTTTCTATGCGTAGCAAATTGGTTAATGCAGAAGAACACAGTCCCTTACATTTTTCCTTGTTTGAGGCACAGATCTCTTGGGATCTTGAACTGTTTAGGCTCAACAAACGTAATGCTTTTTGAATAATCACATAATTTTGGTGCCATGCATTTATGAATGTTCTTGCTCTAGACTATTCTTGATTAATTTATTAGAGCCATCTTGTGCATCATGTTAAAATCTTTATTATTTATATATATATGTATATATATATATATAAGAAAAATGAAAACCACTTTTTTTTATATATAATGCTCAACACGATTACCTTTGTTTTCAAAACATTTTGGTATGTGCCCTCCGCTACTGAAGAACTAACCAGTTATTCTTTTAATGATGTTGGTGATCTGTTTATTTTTCCTATGTGTCGAAAATTATGAGACACCCTTATATTTACAAGCTCATTTTTAACCAGCTGAACATAGTTCCTCCATAGTTTACAGGTTTGTTTATAATCTTTACTTTTCCTGTCTTGTAAACGAAAGATTTTAATTTTTTTTATTTTTAAAGTTTATTCTTAAACTTTATTAAATCAGTTACTCTGGCTGTCTTCCTCTTTTGCTTCTTCTGTGTATATCCAAGGACACAATAGCCCACTATAGCATGGTTGCAGTATTTGCACTTTTCAGCTGACACATTCCACTTCTGCAGGCATTTTTTCCCGTGTTAGCCCTCTGGGATCTCACCCTTTTTTTTTAAACTTGAAATAAGTCACTTTTCATTTATCAGACACGCTCAGAAAATTGAAACCTAGACTGTAATGGTAGTAGATAGGTGGAATATGGCTCTGCTGCAAAAATGATCAGCCAAGAGTATCATTTGCACTAGTAGGTAGCATGGCCAGCTAGGTCCAGCAGTAAGGCCAAACAGGTCTGCGGAAATTCCCATTTTTATTAGGCTGGTCCACCGCTTTTTGTGCAGTTTGAAGAAAGCGAGGCAGGGGTCGACCACCAAGAAGATGAATATAAGACATTGAGGATGCATTGGCATTGAAAGCACATGGGGCTGGAGAGCTGGCTAGAAAAAGGGATACTTTCAGGCGTGCTGTGAAGAGAGCGACGTTCTCTAAAGGACTTGCTGATTGATGATGATGATGATCCACGGCTGGTCTGTGCTCACCATTGTTATCAAGTAAATCTATTTACAAATTACACTAAGGTTTAATAAACTTGCAATATATTTTATTGAATATTTTATTATTATTATTATTATTCTATTTTCTAATGGTTCACTTATCTATGTTCATAAAGAAAATTCATTCAATATAATGTGTTGCAAGTTAGTTAAACTAGTTTAATAAATGTATAAATTTACTCGATAACAATGGTGAGCACAGACCAGTCATGGACCGGTCTAACAAAATGGGAATTTCCATAGACCAATTCAGCCTTACTGCTAGAGCTGGTTGTGGTAGGCAGCACAGGTAGTCTTTTTCTTCCACACAAAGCTGTTTTCTGAGTTTTCATTAACCTGAACTACTGACTGTCTT